ATGTGCCGAGTCAATCAAACTATGTGCCGAGTCAATCAAACTATGTGCCGAGTCAGTCACACTATGTGCCAAGTCAATCAAACTATGTGCCGAGTCAATCAAACTATGTGCCAAGTCAATCAAACTATGTGCCGAGTCAATCAAACTATGTGCCGAGTCAATCAAACTATGTGCCAAGTCAATCAAACTATGTGCCGAGTCAATCAAACTATGTGCCGAGTGAATCAAACAATGTACCGAGTCAATCAAACTATGTGCCGAGTCAATCACACTATGTGCTGAGGCATTGGAATGGGCATTTTTCTTTTTGTCAGTATACAACAGGCTTGTTAAAAGCAATGATAAAATTAGCACTTTAAACTGGATGCAAGCATTTGTGTATATGGAAATTTAAAAAAAAAAAAAATTAAATTAATTTTAAAAAAAAAGAAGTTAATGAAAAGGAAATAAAATAAATACATTTTTCCTTATATTTCTATTCTATTGATATATTAGCTGCAAAAAGTGATTTTTAAAACATTTAAAATGGTGGATGAACAGTCAACGGCACATGTCTGAAACTGTCACAACATGTTTTACAGCTTTTAAAAATGACCAATTTCAATCTAATAAAAACAACAATGAAAAAAGAATTGAAAGAATTTAAACATTCAAAATGAAAGATGTTTAATTTTAAGAAGATTTTTTTTTTCCTCGTCAAATTGTTCTTCAGTTGTCAATCGTGGTCATGAACATATCAAATACCGGTACCGCTAATAAACATTTAAAATCTCAGGGTCATTGACTCTCGCCATCACTGTAGACAATTGTACAGGTGATGCATTCATTCAAAATGTACAATATGTATTATACTATAGAACAGATAACAGTTATCTTACCACATGATTGTTTCATCAACTATGGAGACTGTGGACTTTACATGAGAATAATGCAAGTGTTGAGGACATTTCACAAATATTTTTTTTAAATCCAACTTTATTTCCTGATTCAGTCTTGTATTGAAATATGAGAAATAGCCAGGTGAAATGGTCCAATTATAATTTATTTTGGATTCTGTTAGCAATCATCAAACTTGACCTAAAGCATAATTTTTCCAGGATTATCATATGTTAAAAAATACCAATTTGATCTAAAACATGGGATGATTATGTTAAAAATCAACCACATTGATTTAAAACATGACATAATTATGTTAACAACCATGCCAGTTGATCTAAAACATATACAGGTTGATGACGTTAGAATAATAACAGAGTTATCAAAAGGAACAAAATTATTGTTGGTTACTGTTTATAAGAAATGTTATCCTATCCATCTTAACGATCAAATCAATTATATATGGTGGAACAAAAACTGGAGAAGTCCCAAAGAGACTAGGCTCAGTGTAAAAGTCAGACTTTAGACAGCGCCCACAATAGAAGCGGTGTCCAGTCACCAGATGAAGGCCGATAGACAGAGGAAGTGTCTGATAGGTGATTGAAGCGACGTCCAGTCATTGCACAGAGTTTGATAGACATAAGAGGTGTCCAGTCACTGCATGAAGTTTGATAGAAGAGGTGTCCAGTTCCGGCTAGAAGGTTGATAGACAGAAGCAGTGTCCAGTAACAAAAAACTTTTGAGTAAATCATCCCCAAATTGAACATGATAAAGTACTACCGGGTATTTCTATTGTGAAAAAATAAACATTCATTGGTCAGGTAGCAGTACAGAACAAAATAGAATACCAGGTGGAATCCCCCACAGATCAGACAAGTTAAGGTCATTGCAGTAGAGTAACCTACACCAGCTGTAAAGCTATTGTACTAACTGAGTAACCAACACCAGCTGTACAACTATTGTACTAACTGAGAATAACAACAGCTTTATCAGAAATGTAAATAATGACCTGAACATGATGTGAGCCTCTATTATGGAATGTACAATGTTACACTTAAGAAAAATAATTCTTTTGTTCAAATTTCCTGAAATGCAAGTAAATTCATATTTGTTTCACTTTAATGTTATTTCACATCAACATTTCAATAGCGCCTCATTTTATTCAATTAAAAAAATTAAAATTTGAGTTTGGTTTTTTTCTATGCTTGGTTTTTAAAAGGGTAGTGGGAGGGGAAAAAATGCAATGTACCTAATGGGAGGTAACTGTTTGTGCATAAAGGGAAGGAACTTATGTCCATTGCAACCTTTTTTATGGTGTATTCTTGTTACATTAAAAATAAAATGGCACATGTGTTTCAATTTAAGTTATGCATTACAATCTTAAAATAAAATTCCTGATAATAAAAAATGCTGGTTACTTGGAATCCTTGGCTTAAAACCTCATTAAAATGCTGATAGGCCAATTCAATCAAATATAATAAGATTATTAAAAAAAAAATCACTGGCTCTGTCAGGGGAACATACCATTACAACAGTAATCTTTGCTGGTATGAGAAATCCAAGGTTGTCCCATGTGTTGCTTTGAAAACATGAAAATAAAGGCAAGACATCATATCTTTATAAAATGATGATTAAAAAATTAAAACTTTATTATGTAAAAAAATGAAATAAATGGTAGGTAGGTGGTCTTATTTTACAAAAAATTTTAATTTGCCCCCGACCGCCAATCCCAAAGGAAACGTGCAGCAACTCATACCATTATTTTTAAATCATAGTGTTTCACAACGTCTTATATTTTAGGAAGACAGTTTGTTTTTACCAGGATATGGCTCACAAATTTCCTAGGAAGGGTGACTCAACCTTTACGTCATTTGTATGCTTACAACATATCAGCAGTTCAATTAAGCCATCAATTTTTTATATCAATTATATTGTTTTTTTTAAACACCTAGCCGCTGTCTCAAGGATTATGAAATTACAGTCTATTTAATGTTGGTTTACATAAAAATATGAAATGATGACCTGCGTACGCTAAGATTACATAGTTCAAATTAAATATTGCTAATAATGCAACTAAAAATGGAGATCTGTTCATCTATTTCAATCCATAAAAGTTTTTTTTATTTAATGCATTACGTTTGAATAATTAGATTTAACAAAGTCAAGGAAACATAAGCCCGTTGTATTATTTTTAAATGTTTTATAAAAGATTTTAACCCCAAAAATAATTGTTAATTTATAATAGCCTTATCATATGCTGACCATATTATCCTGTTCCCCATCCTTACAGGTCCATTACATTTACATTCTGTTTTATTTCTTGCACTACTAATTCAAAGGAAATGGCATAAATTTTAATGAATATGTACAAAAGCAGTAGGTGAAATGAAGGGAAGCCCATTAGTTAGCCACAGAAAAGTTGTTGAGCCCAATAAAATGCAGTCGTAAGAAGAAAAATCTAAAATGGACTTTTAATTTACATTGATTTTTTTATCTAATAATATTTAAATCTGGCCAATAATCAAATCACTTTCTTATGAGGAAACTTGATTTTTAATGTTTCAATTAAACCCAGTCTGCCATTGCATGAACATTTCATGGTGAACACAATTGAAGAAAACAGTCTGAAGATGAAAACTTTCAAAATCTACACTAAATGTTCAGACCTTTGGGCCACAGCACATGAGTTTGAACACAATTGAAGATAACAGTCTGAAGATGAAAACTTTCAAAATCTACACTTAATGTTCAGACCTTTGGGCCACAGCACATGAGTTTGAACACAAATGAAGATATCAACACTTTGAAGATGAAAACTTTCAAAATCTACACTAAATGTTCAGACCTTTGGGTCACAGCACATGAGTTTGAACACAAATGAAGATATCAACAGTTTGAAGATATGAGCTTTGAAAATCTACTCTAAATGTTAAGAGCGTTGGGCCATAGTACTTTGAGCTTGAACACCTTGTCCAAAATGATGGACCTTTTATTTGTTATTCATCAGAAAGATTTCAACTATTGAATACACTTTAAGTACACTGACAGTGCAATAATTATCGAAGACTTGGAGAATTTTGTATTAATATGTATAAATAGAATATTGACATGAGTTCTTTAGTTATTATGAGTTTATGGCTATTTTCACTCATCCACAGGAAATTTTTCCACATTACCATATAACTGTTTAATGGTGAGCTTTTAAGTGTAAAATACAACGAGGGTCAGATTTTTAATTTGAAATAGTTGTTAGAATTGTATAGAAATAAAGAAAGCAAATATCTCCTCCAAAATATTGACGTGTCTGACAGATCAAATGACATATGTTCTTTTCTTCAAGAAAACCTATCTTCCACAATATATTTCCAGTGTAGAGAAACTGAATTTAATTCATGAAAATGAATGAACGGGACACCATCTTTAAATGAAATCAATTTTGACAATGGATAAATTATAGAGAATTGAAGAGCATTTTTAGACATATTAAGACACTGATGTCATCAATAATAGGACATCAGTACGAGACCTTTGCTTTCTGAATTATACTGCATCATCAAAATAGATAAACATTCATCCCCATCTTAACATGATATTAACAATCTTGATTAATTATATTTTGTACATTAATATATATATATTATATATATATATATATATTAAATACATATTATATATATATATATTATATACAAATAGTGAGAGATATATATATATATAGAGAGAGAGAGAGAGAGATGAAGTGAAATTCATAGGTACTAAATAAATAAATTTACTTGAACAAAAATATAAATTATCTTGACTTGCTGTTTATTTATTAACTTTCTCCCAAAATTTAATTGGGCATAAGTGAGAAAGTCATTTAATAATTTTCTAGGATTTAAAAATGACTAGATAAAAATAATAAGAATATCTAATAATAAGGATTGATCCCCAGAATATTTATTTATACCAGAATTAGATTTATCTAATTACACAACTTCCATTAATATGATATGATATTTTAGCTGAAGTTGATCTACAACAATAGAAAATAAAATAACCTTGGCCTTCATAATGAAAAAAAATAAATTTGTTACTTGGTTCAATTTATCAAAGCAAAAAAAAAAATCAACAAAAACAACACCACATTTTCTTCAATTACTTAAAAATTGAACACTATGGTTTAGTTTTTAAATTGACCATCAACAAAATGTTAAAAACAATAGGTCAAATAATCTGAATGAAAGAAGTCTACATTCACCTGTATGGAATAGTTCATACGGTAACTTGTAAAGGATAATGAATTTTAATATGCACATGCAATAAATGGAAATTACCTAGCTCCAAATCTTATATTTCACTATTGAATTTTAAAGTGCCCACCTAAATAAGGCTTTGTCTAAACATATAAATCCAAACATTTTTTGTCTAAAATATCTTTGAGGGTGCCTAATCATTCAATAAGGAGAAGAATATATTTACTTACAAATGTACATGGTATGAAAACAAAAATTATAAAATGACCAAAACCAAAATTACAAAAGAATTTCAAAAGGTAAAAACAAGGTTAAATACAGGTTACACATTGCACACAGTCAAACACTATGGACAAATGAACATTTTTTTTATATTTAAAAAAAGAACTGTTGTTTAATCTAAAATTGCAACAATATTTAAAAATCTTAAATACTATTTAATTAGCTACAGGATGAGATGAGCCTCAACTCTGTTAGAAAAAAACTAGGAGGCAGCCAAGTAAAAAAACAAGGGGCTCTCCAAAGTCACGGCCTTAAGTCTAGGCTAGTATTTACCAGACGCCTTTCACCAAATATGAGTAAAAGCTGTTATTCTAATGTATATGCCTGCTATTCATCAAAAGTCCTCAAAGGATTTCACCTACAACAGAATTAGATGTTTGATAATGAAGGCATCTGTACATCTCCCATAAGTCATGAATTGCATTTGAAGAAAAAAAAAGACAAACATTAACACAGACAACACCATCACCACTACAGAACATTGAACAAATTTTTAGCAGATATTTTGTGTCATTAATTTCAGAAGCCACACATCTCTTACCCCCAGTGGCTTCCCATCTGACATCAGGCCATAGAGAATCAAACAATAAGGAATTTTATCCAATACTACTAACATATTAAAAAGCTTTCATTTGTGACTTCATAAATTACTTTTCAATTGCTGCAATGCATTATGGTTGAGCAACAAGCACATCTTGGTTTGTCCCAGGAGAATCCAGAAAAGTGAATAAAAAAATTACGTGCAATGGTAGTCTACTATTTACAAGTTTTAGAATTACTTTCCCAAATCTATTACACATTTTTCCATTTTTCAGACTTCATACACAAAGTGTACCATACCACGCTCATCATACAGTTATGTACATCGTAATTAATCTTTCTTTAATTTAGGACATGACCTTTCACTTGATTTAAGATTTTAAAACATAAATTATTATAGTGCCGGTATACCAAAGATCAATGAAACAAAATTAAGTCACAGCTCTATTCAACTAAAAAAAATTTTTTTTATGATTGTCTTGAGCCATGTTCACTGAATCTAACATTAAATTTGTATGATGGTATGTACTTCATCATATCAGCTTCCCAAAGATTGGATTAAGATCAGTTCAATTGGATTGAAATACTTGATAATAAAACCTTGAAATGAATAAAACTCAGAACTAAATCATAGAGCTAAACAAAGGCAAAAAAAAAAGTCCTTTAAACAGAATTTTATTAAGCTTTGAGAGTATAACTAGAGTAGCGGTACAATGCTAAAATTTACAGTTACCAATTAGAGAAAGAATTAGCTTGGCATTTGCTTTTTGTGAAACACCATGTCTTTTTCTGCCTCTTTAACGAGGAAAGATCAAATAAATCGAGTGTCTCCTTACTATATGACCGACAGCCTAGCTTCCAATATGTTAGAAATGGACATCATCAAAGACTTTCCTTCCCACAAAATGCAATCCCTTGTTTTGTCAGATCTACATGGGGGAGTGGTCTATTTGGACATACAGTTGCCTTACTCCAATCTGTGGATACATGACAAATTTATTATTATTTTGCAAAAATTTGGCTAATTTTACAACATGTATTTTACAATTAGACAAATCTATATGTTGGACATGAGGTTTGAGAATAAAATTAGGATTCTTCTGAACCAGTAATTTGGATAGAAATAACCTTTGGTGGATCCAAAAAGGAGGCTATGTATGCTAAGCTTTGGAGGGGAGATGGAGCCATATTTTTCCCAACTGAATTCGAGCAGAGCCATAGCTCCATCATTTGAGGGCTGCTCTGACATCTAAATTTTCTTTCAATTTAAAAGTAATCAGAAAACCAAATGCAAGTGCTGTTTTCAAATTTCCTAGTTTTTGCATTATACATGAAAGAGTTAGTTGTTTTTTTTCTTCTGATTTGTGATTTATTGTTAATTCCCTGAATGATAACTGGATAAAAAAATTAAAATCTCATTCAGTTGAGTTTCTCTCTTCCCCGGCAGCAAAACCGGAGCAGAGCACTCAGCAGACTGCTCCAATGCCCTGCTCATCAGTAAACTAAGCCATTTTTAAAAGTGAAAAAGGAAAAATTATTAACAATATAAAACGGTTTGTTTTTTCACTTTAAAAAACAAACGTAATTCATACAAAATTAATTTTCAAAGTGATTTAAGTTTAAAAAAACTTATTTTTCATAGTTTTAAATATAATTTTTTTCTTCTTATTTTTTGAAAGCAAAAGAGCTGCCTCTGAATGGGCAGTTTGATGGCTGTATGCAGCTCCAGAGACACATGGTACAACCATTACTTGTTGATTCATCATCTTGACCCACTGTTTTTTTATTTATGGTCCTAATCCAATGCCTACAACAACAAAAAGAAATGCAAATACATTTCACTCACCTGCGTAAAAATGTTATGCGTCTGACTGAGAATGTATTTAGTGTCTGCATTTGTCGCTACTTCCAATTTGATAGTTCCTACATATACATCTGTACACAATGTCCAGAAATGAGGCTCTTGTACACTGTACACACCTTCAAGTTGGCTCACCTAAACAAATCATTTAAAGTACATCAAAAAACAATTCTCCAGCACACACAATTTAAAAAATTATTTTCTTCTATTACCTTGATCATATTAGACACTTTGATTTTATGTAAGTTTATTACAGATAGTATAGAGCTAGTTAGAGCTAGCTACTTATTGAAACCATGTGAAACATATTTGAACTATGTGAAATCAATGAACATCAGAGACTATGTCAGTCTTTAATCCACTGTTTGCTATAACTAGGGATGTTGAACAATAGTGTATTTTTAAGAAAAATTCAATATCCATTTTAAATAAAAGAATTGTATAGATAAATTAATGTATAGTTAAAGAAATGTATAGTTTAAAAAATATATAGTTAAAGAGAAATGTATAGTTAAAGAAATATATAGTTAAGAGAAATAGAAAGATTAAGATTAGAAGGTAAAAACTGCCGGCTTACTCTTTGGTAACAGCCAGGTAATTGACCCTCCAATGGTCTAGGTGTCCTTTGCATCAAAATACCAATAGAATCACGAAGCAATGGTAGCACGCTGAAAGAAAAAAGAAACAGATATGCTGAAGCATGATATTAGCATTGTCCATCTTAACAGTATTTGAAATAGAAACATTTGACCTGCTTCATATCAATTTTGGTTTTGTTATACAAACTTCATCTAAGACCATATGAAACACCTTAAAACCAGTAAATTTTGTTCCATTATTAATGCATTTTGTGTTTTCAAATTATACTGACCTCATACCAATAAGGACAGCAATAAACATAGAACACACAGGGTCTGCTATCATCCATCCAAATTGGTGAATAAGAATAGATGAGATGATAACACCAACACTTCCTAATGTGTCGGCTAATATATGGAGGAAAACACCTGGTTAAAATAGACAAAAAATTAAATTAGAGACACGGATAACCTGTTGATTTTTATTGTAAATAAGTTTCTTTTGGTGCGGCCCGTTTTCCCTTTGTTCGCACAAACTTTTTTAAGCTGTGCCCACCTTTTCCATCAAGCGTTGCATCCACAGCTCACAGGAAACATTGGTCATAAGCAGTATAAACAGAAATTAATAACTCAATGTATATTAATATTTTTTAAATTGACAGTAATCTCAAGCAATTTACTTCTATAACAATGGAATCCAAAGTGAAATTTTTTTTTTAATATTCCAGACTTGGCACCCCAATTTTATCCCAAATATTGGGGTTTATGTGTTACAGGGCAGGCACATGAAAGAACATTTGAGGGCCCTCAAAAGACCAATTGCCAGAAATGACTTTAAGCCATTCAAATGGTTTACCATAACTTCACCCGTTAGAAAAATGGGCATATTTCAAAGAATCACACAGTAAAATGATTTGTGAAGATTTTGATGCCCAAAATTTCTTTATGCGTAGGTAAAGCACTGATTATGACATATTTCAAAAACTGATTATTTGGGGAAAAGTTAATTCCTTAACTGTAACTATTGTAAAATTAAACAACCACTAAAACAAAGTGTTTTTTTATGAATCCTTTTTAGGCATTTTTGTTTGCATTTATGTAATTGTACATGATTTATTATTATTATTAAGAAGCGGTTATGTTAATGGGTAAACTTCTGGCAAAAACTTGTTTCATATTTCCTTCATTTTCCCCTTGAAAAGTGTATTTCATTTTTACTGCATACCCAAATACGACACAAATACAAAGCACATAGCAACAACTACACAATTAATTTCTACCCCAAAATACACATCCATTGAACCAATCATATTTCATGTATCTTCACCTTGAAATACAGGAAAAACTCATTTTTGGGGGTGGGGATCCGCAACAAGTCTACATGCAATAACGATTCAGTTTGATAGGATGATGTGAAGTGGGTAAATCAGCCGTCGGAAGATTTAGTCACAAAAATATGAACAAAAGCATAGTTAATATTAAGAATTTTTAAAAACTTTTTAACTAACCCTGCATGATCTGTGCTTGAGCAATTTTAGCAGTGTTGGTGGGTGCTTTGACCTGAACACCATGGCTGTGTTCACTATCATGGCTGTGACCGTGCCCTTCATGGCTGTCATGACTGTGGCCGTGGTTGTCATTATGACCGTGGCCGTGGCTGTCGTGACTGTGACCATGGTTGTCAGTGTCACCTGCCGACTCGAGCCCTGAGAATAATATTCAAAATTTGATGAAGAAAAAGAAAATACAATCTGTAGGGAAAAACTTTTTTTAAAAATCATAATTAGTTCTTGAAAAATAATATGTATTGTACTTCAAAACTATGAAAGCCATTATTTTAATTAAATAGAAATATAGCTGACATGAATTCCAGCTCAAACTTACCTAATCCATGGCTGTGCCCATGACTATGCCCATGGTCTGAAGCAAACAAGCATGAAATAAATAAATGATTACCAAAAGTTTTAAAACTAATAGAATCTATCAATTCATGCTATTTGCACTTGCCAGTGATTTTTGGAGGAGGATCCAACATTAAAACATTATTTCAGTGGGGTGAAAAACCACACACACACAAAAATAATAATTTAATCGGATTAAAACTATGTGATGTTTTAACCATTTGTCACTATCTGCGATGTCTCACAATGGTGATATTATCTGTCTCTCAACCAAAAGAAAGGGTTCAAATTATCTTTGAGGTCTTTCCCAGCCACGGGTAAGAAGTAGCTATCGGGTGGCGCCTGTCAACTCCTATAGTCTTCTTGGATTGATTACATTCGTCAAGTTCTTTTCACACGTTGAAGCGTCGTACTATTCTCACTATCATTGAACAAACTCAACTCCTTTTCATAATAACTATAACTTTAATATCTAAGTAAATATAATACACATACACGTGAATATAGCGCAGCTCGCAATCAGACCTAAATAATACACATCCTATCACTCCAAAGTTCCACTCAAGACTGCCGCACGACTAAAACATACATCACAATACTGCATAGACAATACGTCACGAATCAGCATAAAATACGTCATAGAGAAATGGCGGGAAGAGCGTTCACTAACTATAATAGTCAAGCGCGGGAAAAGCGTTCAACAACTAATGAGTCGCAACAATTACTAATGAACGCTCATACTCGACAGCGCCTGAAAATGTTTGCTTAGTGTCTGGATTTTCAAATTCATCTCTTAACCATATTTATTTGCAAAACATATGCAGACTCTTGAAAATCAATGGGGTAGCTCATGAAAAGTATTTTTGACTACTCCTGTGGGGTTGGATAGGCTCATAGGCCCAGTAAAGAAACTATTCTTGGGTAGGAAGAAAACGCTGAATTAAAAAAAAAACCATTTCCCATTTAAAGACAGCAACCTACAAGAAGTAAGATTAATTGAGGGTCTGTTAAACAATGGCTGTCGTCAAACTAGTTAATTTATACTACTGTAATATACATGGGGCTTGAAAACAACACTTTGTAGCAATATTTTCATTATCATAAAACTAGAATCCTGAGTAAAACTGCTAAATGCATGCACTGATATTAAATTTATTTAACAAAGATATTGAATTTATTTAACAAAGATATTGAATTTATTTAACAAAGATATTGAATTTATTTAACAAAGATATTAAATTTATTTAACATAGATATTGAATTTATTTAACATAGATATTAAATTTATTTAACATAGATATTGAATTTATTTAACATAGATTTTGAATTTATTTAACATAGATATTGAATTTTGCTCAACATAAAACTGACCTCCACCTCCATGAGAATGTCCATGCTGGAAAGCAAAGATGCCGACAAGATTTACAATAAATCCACCAACCGATACTAAAAACAAACGCTCATGCTTCACCTCAGGGGGTTCCACTGCTCTCTGTAAAAATTAAAAAAAATATTAAAATATGGTTTGGAAGATGACACAATTAATTAAATTGTCAAAATACATCCTTAATTAATGTGAAAGCAACAGCAGAGGAAAGGAATTTTAAAAGTAAGACCAGATCATGATACACTCACTTCAACAGCTTCTGAGAAGATGAAAAATGCGATGAAAAGCAGGAAAAGTCCATTGACAAACCCAGCCAAAATTTCAGCTCGAACATATCTGTAATAAAAAGTTATTTTAGCAATTAACTTAACTTTCTCAACAAAATTGTCTAGTAACTTTTATATAAATCTCTGGTAATGGACCTGACGCAGAATAGCATGAGAAAAAAATGTGATATTTAACAGACATGAAATTCGTGGAATGAAGTTTTTATGTTCTAACATTATAATAAATATATTACATTTTCAAGCAGATATTGCATAAATTATATAGCTAGTAAATTTACAACCGCAACAAGTGAAATGTACCAGTAATAATAAAGTTAAACATACCCATAAGAGAAACTTTCATTGGCACGCCATCTTGAAATTACTGATGCCACAAGACCAGCTAGTAGTGCAGTGCAGTCAAAGAACATGTGAAAGGAGTCTGAGATGAGACCCAAGCTGTTGGTCCATATTCCATATGCGAGCTCCACAAAAGCAAAAGATAAATTTAAAAGGAGAAAACCTAAGAGCCTTCTTGATGTTTTTTCTGAAAATATTAGCCTGAAAAATAATATTTTTATTACAATTAATATACACCATATATCATATAAGTACACATTATCAATTAAAATAATATTCAAGCACCCATCCTCCAACCAAAAAGGCATCAATGTTTGACAGCACTCAAAGTAAATAGAAATTATCTTAGGTTATATTTATTTTATTTATTTATTTACTTTTTAGTTAGTTTTTTGTTAGTTATAAATATTTTTTTGATTGATAGTTACAATAATTTATTTAATTGATACAGTGGTTAAAATCTTTGATTGAATCAAATGATTAATTAGTAAGAAGAAAAGTCAATAAATCGGTTACAACTAATGAATAGCCTAGAACTTTAAAAAACAACAACCCTTGCTTGAGAATAAGTATAAAAAATACACCAATAAACTACTAATAACTACTTCCAACTCTAATTTTAAGACCAGAGACACTAGAGTAGAAAAAGTCTATTTAAATACCAGTACATCTACTTATACTTCACGGAAATACTTTAAAAATGTAAAGACCTATTGAAATTCCATTAGTTAAATTTGAAATTATTGTTACTTGTGACCAGGGTCGAGAAGATTTAACAGAGTGGTTATTCACAGCCTGCTGGGACTAACGTTAAACCTTATTCCAAGCCGACTGTGTTTAATAATAGTGCTACCATAATAAACTCTGTTAAAATTAAACCAAATTATAGATTCAATTCATCCAATAATTCCGCTACATTCTTTTATTTTTTAAATTACTAGCGGTATTAAACCATTTATCAGCTGGAAGTAATGCTGAGCATTATACACAGTCCGATGAGAATAACATTGAGCGCTATCTCCAGCCAACTGTGTAGAGGGCCTACCATGATTTAAATCCAAATGTTTAAATTAAACCAACAAAAATCATGATTTCAATCCAAAATTTTTAATTTTAATTATTTTTATTAATCTATTTATATTTTAAAGGCACTTGCTTAAAATAACTTTAGTTTGTTTTTATTTATTATTGATCACATAATATATTGTTTCTTAATATATAATAATGTATGCACAGTTTTATTATATTTTTTGGTGTTTTTTTTCCAATTAAACTTTTCAGATTTTAGAAATCAGAAATTGACTTAGGGTTGAGAAAGCTGGAAAATAAGTTTTTACATTCAAATTATTTAATCAGAAGGCTTTTGCGGAATCGAATGACATTGACGTATGGCAATATTATGACATTGATATTATAATTTGAATGCGTGAAACTGAATTGAAATTCTAATTCATATAGATGAGATTGAGAGTATAGTATTCAGATCAGGAATTTTATTAATACATTTAAAAACTTTTTTTTAAAGTTAATCATTTGTTATTTTCTTAATAATTTTTATTTGAATAAAATGAAAAATTTCAGTTGGGGAGAAATCCTTAAAAATATTTTAATGGATTAAATTAAGATTTGTATTAGTTTGTGTCATATTATTTTACTTAAATTTAAATAACTGTGTTAAAATCCAATTTAAATCCAAAAGAACGGATATAAATAATATTTACAATTATGTGTAATCTTTATAAAATTAATTTACTTCAAAATCTAAAGAAATTTCTTTTAAAAAATAAAAGAATACAATTCTATTTAAAAATGTAAAAACCCAGATTTAAAAAAAAAATCCAATTTCAATTTAAAAAATCCAAATTAAATTTAAAAATCCAATTTGAATTAAGAAATTGATTCAAAGTCCATTACTTACATTATGTTTAGTCTTTATTAAACATAATTATACTTCAAAATCTAAAGCAATCCGTAGAAAAATTAGGAAAAAATCAGAAAAAAAACCCACCTGATTTAAATTTTAAAAAATCTAATTTAAATACAAAAATGCAATATAAATTTAAATAACTCGTTTTAATACTATATTATGTTTAATCTATAAAAACATTTAATAAACTACAAAATCTTAAGAAATTTAAAAAAATCAAATTAATGTGTTAAAATCCTATTAAAATCAAATAAATCTGACTTATTTCTTTGAAAAAAAATCATTATTTTTATCAATAAAAGTGTGTGACTCAGTACTAACCGTTCTATAAAAACAATACGAACAGAAACTTTCTAATTATAAGCGGATTTAAAAAAATTATAATTAATATTTTATAGGTTTAGGCCTATCTACCTCAAAATATAGGCATAGGCCAACTTATTACTATAGCCATTACAGGGCCTATACGACTTAAATTGTAATTGAAACCTTAATTTTAAAAGCATCACACCATTTACATTATAATTTATAGGCCTAGATTGCGGATGGCCATAGTGGTCACTGGTACCTAAACTAGATTTTAGACAGAGCGATTGCATGGACCCTCTGAGGCCGTGGATATTTAACGGGCCCAAAGATGTGTAGAAAAAATTAAAACTCTTGTTTTTAAATGCAGGGTGCCAGGGAGCACTAAACAGAAAATTGGCAGGGGGGGGGGGGTCCCAAAAGCCACACAACTGCTCTGCTTTTAGGCATGTCTAGTATGCATCTTAGACCTAGTAACTCAAAGTAATTAATAAAATATATTTAAAATGTTCTTCTGCTAGATCCATCTGACTATTTTAGCGCAATAAATTTAATGCCATAAATGTTTAAGGGATTTAAATTAAAAACTAAATATTTATCTGATGGAACTACATTAAAACACTCCATTAGTTAATAGAACAAGTATTAACTGTTTTTGAATTAGTTTGTCACATAATTTTGTAATGTGTTGATCTTCCTGGTGTACCAAATAAGACAAACATTTCTGTGCATGATGTTAACATTGGCAATGCAGATCTGGTCTGGAAATGCTCAAAACAATCTGGTCTGAAATTAATTACAAGTTTAAAAATGACATCATTGCACTAAGCTCTAGTGACTGTTCTCCAAAGTCTGAAAAAGTTACAGGTTTTGCACTGCTTTCAGGACAATGAATTCTGTCACAAAGTCAGATTCCTTTCCTATTCCAAGGATAGACGATCTCATTGATAAGTAGAAGATTCCAAATATGTAACCAAGATAGATCTATTACCTGGTTATTGGCCAGTTCCTCTCTGACAGAGCAAAAGAAATCTCTGCCCTTTGTACTCCAGATGGCTTATACCAATATAAGGTAATGAAAAATGGAATGAAAAATGTTCTAGCTACATTCCAACGCTTTGTTAATAGCATTATGGCTGACTATAATTTTTTATAGTCAAGATATTTCAAGTTGTATAACCCAAATAAGATCTGTCTTTAAGAAATTTTTGCAGGCTAATGTTACTGCAAAATTAAGCTAGGGGGAATTGTCATGCAACTGTGGAGTATTTAGGTCACAAGTGGATCAAGGTCATGTAAAGTCTGTTCAAGCCAAAATAAATGCTATCCCATTACTTCCTCCACCCATTACTAGGAAACAGCTCATGAGATTTTTGGCCATGGCAGGTTATTACAGAAAATTTTGCAAAAGCTTTTTCATTATTGCTTCCCCTCTTACAAAGTTGTTAAAGAAAAATGTAAAATTTCATTGGTCAGATCCCTGAAAATTTAAAATGTACTAGCCAATGCTCCTGTCCTCATAACACCAAACTTTAAAAATAGTCTAAATTAGCTGTCTCGTGTGGAGATACTGGTCTTCCATCGAGCGCCTCTCCAGGTGGCGGATAGAGGAAAGCCCACCAGATATGGAGGGTACAAGGGAAATAAAATACCCTGGGCGGACCAAAATCATAACCTACCGCTTTGTAGGAAGTGGAGGGATCCACAAAGGTTAGGGAACCTTACCCAAAAATTAAAGCAGCTACCTAGAGAGCTGTAAGGGGCAGCCCCCCCCCCCTAGATGGCTGTGCGCAGGGATAATAACCTGGCTGTGTAAAAAGATTAATGTTATGAATGGCAATAAACAGAATAAAATCCGGACTGATTCCAATGGCAATCGACCTATGCCTGGACATGGACATGATTTTTTTATTGTGACCTGGAATGTACTAAGCCAGTTTAGAGCAGGAGTCTTAGCCGACCTAGTAAATTACTGATTAAATATGAACATCTATTTCTGCATTGCATGAAATTCGATGGAAAAATGTAGACATTCTCAAAAAAGACTACACCTTATTTTATAGTGGCAACAACACTAACACTCTAGGAACAGGATCTGACATGAAAAAAGAAGCAGGCAGTGAAGTCATAGGGTTCAAACCAGAGAATGAAAGATTGTGCTCTTTGCGTGTGTGAGGAAAAATGTTTAATATAACATTTATGAATGTTCATGCTTCCACCGAAGATACAGAAGGTCAGATAAAAGAATCCTTTCATGAGACACTGAAAAAGATCTATGAGGCCCCACGACATGATATTAAAATAGAGATTGGTGACTTTAATGCCAAAGTAGAGGGTAAAAAAAGTGTTCATGCCAACTATTGGCAAGGAGAGTCTGCATGAAGAATCCAATGACAATGGGATCTGACTCATAGACACTGCTTCAGGAACAGGGATGTCAATTATCAGCACCAAGTTTCCACACAAAAAAATATATATTAAGTTACTTGGAACTCATCAGATGGAATCACCCACAACCAAATCGACCATGTGCTAATTGATCGGAGGCATGGATCAGATATACTAGATGTAAAAAGCAATCGAGGAACAGATGCAGACTCTCACCATCTACTTGTAAGGGTTAAATATAAGCAGAGAATAAGCATAATTCACCATCTCCAAAATCAAAGACAAAAATGATATAATTATCAAAAAATTACCAAAGACCCACAAACTGCAAAAGCATACTAAAATGCAGTAGCACAGCTAGAAGCATCACAGGACGAAATAAACAGGGAAAGAATATAAATGAACAGTGGGATAGGATAAAATGATATGAAAAGATCAGCAGAAGAAGTAGTAGGACTCCAGCAAACTAACAATAGAGTAGGCTGGTTGGGTAATAAATGCAGAGAGACTGTCAAAGAAATGAACACGCCACACATGTCCATGATTCTAAGGGAAACAAGAAAGACAAGACAAACCTACAAGGAAGCCCGAAGGAAAGCCACAAAAATATGTAGGAAGAAAAAAAGGGAATGGGAAAAAGCTAAGCTTAAAAGAGAGAGAAGACTTATCAAGGGAGGGAAACATCAAAGGAATGTACATGAAGACAAAAGATGAAAAGAATGGATACCAAGCTGGGCCACAAATGTGTGAGAGCAATGATGGAGAATTAATTATGGAAAATAGTAAGTACTGGAGAGGTGGGCTGAATATTTTGAGGACATAATAAATGCAGACAATAGACAAGATGAAGACTATCAACCACCACATGGAGGACCAGATCCTTTAATAAGCTCCCCAACTCTAGAGGAAACTACAGAAGTAAAACAGAAAGGGAAACAGCACTAATAACCCCAATACACAAGAAAGGCTCCAAACTTCAGTGCACAAACTACACAGGAATTTCCCTATTCAATGTTACATACAAAATACTGACAAAACTAATTGCCAAAAGACTAATCGTACACTGAAGGAATACTAGGTGACTGTCAATGTGGATTCAGACAAAACAGATCAACGACAACTCAGATTTTCACCATCAGATGCCTTTTAGAGAAATTTTACGAATAAAATATCCCAGTACATCAACTCTACGTGGACTATAAAATGGCTTATGACAGCATCAAAAGAAAATATCCATATGAGACTATCAAGGGGTTTGGAAACCCAACAAAATGGCAAGACTGATACATGTAAAATTAAATGACTCAAAAAGCAATCAAGGTTCAGGGAGAATATTCAAGACAATTCAAGATAAGACGAGGCCTAAGACAAGGAGACTCACTGTCTTGTAAGCTATTTAACCTAACATTAGAAGAGTTATAAGAAGCATACATAATGACACCCAAGGAACAATAACAGGATACTTTCTGATGGAAACTCAAGACCAACAACCAATAGGCACTCTCTGCAACCTCCCCATTCAGTATCTTCCATATGCTGATGACATAGCACTGTTAGGGAAAAGTAGTAAAGATATATCAAAGGCTTTTATTGAATTAGAAGACGCACCACTATAAGCAGGACTGGAGGTTAACATCCAAAAAAACAATATACATGACTATGATAAGAGAAGGACAGACAGTTAAAATCAGTAAAATTAGAAATCACACTTTTGAAAAAAGTCAATCAATTCAAATACCTAGGATCTTTATTAAATGAAAGAAATGAATTACTAAAAGAAATAAAAGAAAACATTTCGGTTGGAAACAGGGCTAACTTCAGTTGTCATAAAATACTCAAAAATAAAAATTTTACAAGAAAAACTATATATAAAACCGTAATCAGACCAGTAGTAATATAAGCAAGTGAAACTTGAATACTAACAAAAACAGCAGAAAATCTATTATAATCAGGAGAGAGAAAAGTTATCCTGAAAATATACAGACCAAAAAAGGATAATTACGGATGGAGAATAGGAACCAACCAGGAATTGTATAGTCATAGTCTATATCAGGATCCCACACTAGCAGCAGAAATAAAAAGGGCAGACTATGCTGGCTGGACTCTTAGAAAGAATGCCAAATGATAGTGGAGTGAAGAGGGTGCACCACCAAGCCCCAGAGGAAAACAGCTCAAAGGCAGACCTAGGCTTAGATGGATGGATGATGTTGAAAAAGATCTACAGCAGCTGCGAATCTAAACATGGAAAAGAGAAGTGTTAGTTTGGTCTGAGTGGCAGGAAGTAGCGAGGCAGGCCAAAGCCCTGTGTGGGCTGCAGTGCCACAGGGATGAATTAATTTAGCTGTGGATGCCAGTGATCTTGGCATTGGAGCAGTTTTTTTTAAAAAGGTGATCCCAGAGTAGATCATCCTATCTGTTATTTCACTGACAAATTTAATCCCCATCAGAAGAATTACTCCACAGTTGACAAAGAATGTCAAGGTTTAATTCTTGCTTTGCAACAATTTGGTTTTTTATGTAAGTTGTTCATTACATCCAATACTTGTTTTTACTGATCAAAGACTGCTTAGTTGGAGTTTATTTCTACAAGAATATAAAACATATTAAAGGCAAAGATAAAGTTATTGCTGACACTTTGTCAGAAATTAATTTTATGGTACATTTAAATTATGTTACTGCTTATCTTTAAGTTGTTAACCAAATATTTGTGAACCAATTTGTGTGAAAAAAATGTATTTTTTTAAATTTTGATAATAGTTCTTTAATGGAAAAATAATTCCATTTTTAAGAGGAAAGGTTTTACAGCAGTGCTGTCTAACCCACGGCCCATGAGCTGATTTTAAATGGCCCGCTGCAGCTTAAGGAATTTTCATGATGTGTGTACAAAGTAAAAAATTTTAGGATGAAAATATTTTCAAACCACATTCACTGATTTAGTATTGTTAGCAAATCATGTGAGAACACAGGAAAAGTTGTAACATCGAAAAGGGGAGTTAACAAAAACTAAGGTGTGAGATGGCTTGACAGTTAGCAGTTATTTATTTTTAAGCACATCAGCAGAGAAACCATTTGGAAACCTGGGTGACATAAAAAAGTTACTATCTTCTCCTTACTTTTGCTTTTACATATGAGGCATTTCATGGTAATGGATATAATTACTAACATTAGAAACATCTAGAAAGATGAATGGTGAAACCGAAAGTAACTCAATGTGTAGCTATTTCGTAATTGTAAAAATGTCCATGGCCCACCAGCGGGACCAAGCTATAGATAAGTGAGCATAGCGAGTTAACTACTGTCAGGAAAGTCTACGGGTCAGAGTAACTGAGATGGGAGCTGGGGTACTAAAGGTGTCACAATAGAATGACTATGGCCTAGCAAGGTATAGGAGAGTATGTGTCCATCCTGTATTGTTGGGGACAAGTATCTAGAAGAGTATGAGAAATTCAATGAGTAGAAAGCAGGATACTTGCTGTGATTGCTTTTAGTTAGTGCATTTCATTCAGAGAAGAATTATGTGAGACAGTAGGACCGATTCTTGAAATTATTTTTTGAAATAAACAAGCATAATGCATGGCCACATAAATTATGGAGATGTATGCTTCTTCTGATGAATTTCCACAACTATGGAAATGTTGTAATAAAAATTTTGATCATGTTTTTGGAAGCACACTACATCAGTGAAGCTAGATACTCTACAGCAGTGGTTCTTAACCTTGTTGGAGGTACTGAACCCCACCAGTTTCATATGTGCATTCATCGAACCCTTCTTATTAGGAAAATTATAATATATGTATTTTTGTGATTTTTTTGGACCTCTGCCGAACCCCTGAGACTGACTCACTAAACCCCTGAGACTGACTCACCGATAGAACCCTCGAACCCAGGTTAAGAACCACTGCTCTACAGTGACCAAAGTGCAAGTACAATTCAAAGCAAAATATATCATTAAAAGATGCTAGTTTTTATTTGCTTTATGTATAATCTTGATGAGCTATTGGATATATTACCTTTTATGCATTAGATAAGAAGTATTAATAATATCAATAATATTCTTTTGAGATGTCATTTGCAGCCCTCTGGTGGCATACTTTGCATACTTCTTTTCTCAGTCCTTTATTACCTATTGTTTATTCTACAAGCCAAATCTTAACACAGATTAAATCTTCAAAGCTTTTATGGTATAAAACACATACGTTTGGAAATCAAAATCCCACACCTAGATAAATAACTAAATAAAGTAATAAAAAACAAATACTACATTTATTTAAAACTAGATACACCCAATAGAGCTACAATAAAAAAAAAGATATAAAAAAAAAAAAAAAAAAAAAATAAAAAAAATAAAAAAAAAAAAAAAATAAATTTAATTAAAAAAAAAAAAACCCAAAAAAAAAAAAAAAAAAAAAAAAAAAAAAAAAAAAAAAAAAAAAAAAAAGATTTTCTATCAAAGAAGATAAAACAAACTAAAAAGTAGAAAATAGACAATTTCTTAAAATGCCTTACACAGAGAAAGACTTTTCAGAAGTGTAGATGAGCACAAATGAGTTTTGTTTTATTTATTTTTGAAAATAATTTCAGCAGAGATTTTCCTTGCCAAATGTATTTTAAGAAATTGTAAATTATTTTCTACTTATTAGTATTAATTAGTAAAGGGGGGAGGGGGGTGGTCTTTTTAAAAATATATTTTGATTTTATACATTTCAGCATTAAAATTGTAATCTATCAATCATCAACAAAAGTAGAATTACTTACTTAGTTAAATATTGAATGTGTACAAAATCCCAGTTATAGTGACTTAAATCTTTACTTAGGCATAAAACTAAAGAGTAGATCTGAGCTCACCCACCCACCCATTCACGCAGCAAAGCATGCGAGGTCAACCATGATCATATGAGCAACAGTGTCAACCCGCCTCCGTCATTCCCCATGTGAATACAGCATGAGAAATCTTAAAATGTCACATGTTAAACAAAAAGATAATGCTCCATCCACAAGATGGAAATGCAAGTAGAGAGAAAGTCTATAAAAATAGAATGTAAATTTGAAGACAGAAGAGCTCTCTATGCATACGACAATCATTGACAATAGCTTCAGTGATCAGTGTCTAAGTTGACAACTTGACGTGCGATTTTCTTAACCTTAAGTCTTAAACTTAAGTTAAGTCTTCCTTTCTATGGCTAACTCAGTATCAGTAACTTACTGATACTTAGTTAGCCATAGAAAAGAAGACAACTTAATACTTAAGGCAAGAAAGGGCCTACGCCTACGATAAGTAAATTTTGTACTTCAATTTAAATTAACCAGAAAAATTATCATTACTGCTATTCTATGTCTATGCAGTTATCTGGTTTAATAAATACAACTGCTTCTGTAGACACCATGAATTCTTTGACAATTTCTACATTAGTTCTCAATGAAGTCAGTTGTATCTTGTTTCTACTTCTACAATAACACAGTATTATATATGCTGTCAGACGATGTGCTAACAACCACAAAGTTAACGGAATGCCAATACTCAACGCATCAAACATACATGGAAATAGGCAAAAGAGAGAAACAATGGCACACACAGAAATATGTTTAATTCTTATATGAGTGGGTTCATTTTGCATCGACGTGTTAAAGAAAATGGTTTGAATGTATTCAACGCCATTCAGAACGAAATCGTTCAAATTTGGCCAACACAGTAGCGGAGGACTTTAAAGAAGTAAATATGTTTTAATGCAAAAGAACATTTGTTTTATTGGAAGTGTCAAGTGTTTTAATGGAAATGTGAAAGATTGATAATGTACAATATATTTTGCGTTAAATGAAACGTTTTTATTCAAAAGAACATTTGTTTTTTTGGAAGTGTGAATAATAATAATTTTTGCTGTGAATTAAAATTGAAGTACTGTAAATTTAAATAATGAAGTTTTAGTTATTATAAGTTTACTAACTTCTTCTTTTGGTTAATTTGGATTATAACTATAACTAAGCCTAAGTCCTAAGCCTAAGTAAGTCTAATAATAATGACATATTTAAAAGTTACACACTATACAGTCATAATATAATATAGTATAGTATAGTCATATGTTAAAAACTTAACATTTTAAATTCTTAATGAACTTAACTAGGCTACTTCAATTTTGTTTAAAAATAATAAATTTCTCCACTTTGACTTTGTATTTATGTTATGACTAGCATGAAATTATATACTGATATGATATAATTTATAGATTATTTAGCCTTAACCTCACCTTAATGTAAAACTAACTTTTTAATTAGTTTAGCAGATATTGCCACTCAGTGTTGACTGAGAGTGACACTAGTGTGATAAGTAGTTTAAAGTAGTAAAAAAAAATAGGGCCCACCGTGTTAGCCGTGTAGGCCTACGTCTACGTACGTACGGCACGGCTTTTGAAAAGTAACTTACTATTAGCTTAAGTGACGTGTCTCACGTTTCTCAATAGTTCTATTTAACTTAAGCATGATATTAATTATATACCTGATCCAGCCAACGAATTTTTCTTTAATTTTTGATCCGGGCCGGTATTTATCACCCGAATGTAAAGGTAGCATTTCAACGTGTAATACTGTCCTAAATCAGTTCGGTATGGAACATGCCACGATTTGGTACACCGACACATTCGGCGATTGTCGGTAAAACAAAAAAAGAAAACAACACAGCTGTCGTGGCTATATGCTAGGGATCCTCAACCTACCGCCCCAGGCTACGTAAAACAAAAATATAACCAAACACGACTTTCACAAAAAAATATTTTTGTTTGCTTATATCCATACTTCAAAATGATCCCAAGTTATAATATGGCATAGTTGTAGTAGTAAGTTTAATTGTAATTAAGATAGATGTGTTGGGTTATTAAGTTATTACTTTTTGGGGGGAGCACTGTTTTGCGACACATACTATACTTTTTGATGATAAACAAAGATATGTTACCTACTGTTTTGCATTGATAGAAGTGGTCTTAAAAAGGATTTCAGTTTCAGTATTTTTTCTATAGTAATTAATAAATACAAAGTAATTATATGGCTATGCATTTGAAGACACTTAAGTCTAAGTATAACAATAACATTCATGCAGGGATAGTTTGATTTGGCTACGTTTGCGTATATATTAAAGCAATTAAACATTGATACACTAATACTGCAAAATTTTATTTTCGATTTTTCATATTTTATGTTTATGCTAATTTTATTTACTTTATTGTTTTAAAATAAAGTAATATGATTAGACTCTCAGCTAGGTCTCTCTTTTTTCCCCTTCAAATTCTTTCGTTGTGCATGATGGTTTCGTCTGCGGAGCAAGGCATTCGGCTGATTATGAAATATCCGAATCCGTGTATTTTCTTGTTTTTGTCTTATTTAAATTCAAGTTTCATCATATATTGTTCTGAATATTTCTTTCACTCGGCTTGAACGCAGTCTCTACTACTACTTTGTGAATGAGCCTTATCATTTAACAAGTGGATATAGTCCTTTTTCGATTTGTAAAATGAGTAAGGATTATTTTAAAATTACTTTTTTCTCTATTAAATTATATTTAATGATATACAAGTTTAAGTTTTAATATTTTTGCATTGTTAAAATAGTGATCTGCATTTGCGTTTGATAACGAACTTAAACTTAGTATAGAATTTTCTGTGTAAACTTAACAGAAATCGCTACGCATACGTTTAACGTGAACAGAATTGCCTCTTTACAAAATGGCTCCCTTTCAAAACAAATCCAATCTTAATCGCAAAAGCCATTTTATATTAAGTAGCCAATAACTCATGAAAAAGACACTAACTCATTAAGAAGACATACACTGAGCAGTAATAGTGAAACTTCGTAAAGAATTGAACGAAGCAAATACCACATAAAAAGATATGCGTAGTACATTATTATATAGATTTTTATATGTGTCAAAATGGTCAAATCAAACTTGGAAACCATTTTTTGGACGATGTCAATCTGACGTGCTAGCATTCGTTTCCACAAGTCGCCTACATTTAAACTGGTCATCAAGATCATGTTCAGAAGTACGGTGTAGTAGAAGCAAATATGGATTTAATTTGTCACCTACTAAAAGTAATCATCCAGTTCCAGGGGAAGATACTGAAACACTGTTCCAGCCCAGAAGGGCAGTTATTCTTACAAAAATGACAAGATATGAGTATGAGAGAAAATTGTGCTTTGCCATGACAGATTCAGAATTTAAAGAATATGTAAGTTAAAAATAAAATATGTACTTATTAAGTATCATACTTTTTTTATAAGCATATTTTTTTAACTATGCCATCCTGCTATGTATGCATTTTAGTATTAATAATATTATAATTAGCAGACTCAGACAGCGGCTGAACTCATTGGATAAGTGAGACTAGTGAGAGACATTTTTGGACATAATCACTATTTGTAGGCCCCTATTATTATTAGTCATGACAGACTAGATAAAGGTAATGTTGTTTTCAAAAATTTTTTTTTTGTTATTTAAAAATAAATAAATATTCATTGCTGAAGTTCTGTATTTCCGGTTTTTAGCAGACAGTAATAAAGAAAATGGCCAGCTGACAGAAAAATAATAGTTTTATTGTGTTGCCTAATGCTTTATTAACTGATCAGGACATAAAAAATGATCCGATTTGGACACTGTTTACATTGGGACAACACTTGACAAATAGTTTTGCAGCTCAACAATGGTGCGCACAAAGGCGCCTGCATAAAAACAAAATAAATTGCGGACGTTGTCAACAACTGTGTACACTCAACCACTTTGCACAGGGAATTGATGGGCTTAGGTGGGCTTGTGATGGGTGTGGCTTCAAAAAGTCTGTACGAGATGGCTTGTTCTTCGCTTGCAGCCATCTTACACTGAGGCAAGTTATTATTATGACGTAATGTTGGGCATGTGACATGCCACAGAAACAGATGGCTCGTGAAGCTGGTGTGACTGAGAAGGCAACATTGGTAGACTGGTGTAACTTTATGCGTGAGGATGCGGAGATCTGGCTTGATTCAAATGCAGTTGAAATTGGGGGATTTAATGCTAACGGCAATTCTATCGTAGTTGAAATCGATGAGACTAAATACTTTTACCGGAAGTACCATCGAGGCCAGATGGACATTGGGTGTTCATAGGTATCGAGCGTGAAAGTGGATAACGCTTTCTGGTTGAAGTCCCGAACAGAAATGCAGCCACTTTGCAGGCTTCCATACAGCAGCATATTTTGCCAGGTTCTCATATCATATCTGACGGTTGGGAAGCTTATGCGCAAGTCGACAGGAGGTGGAATATATCAACATTCAGTTGTTGTCCATCAACACAACTTCGTTGACCCGAACGATGCAGAAGTCCACACACAGAACATTGAGAATATGTGGATGCGGGCTAAGCGCAAACTGAAGAGATGATTCGGGACTAGTCGTGCTCTTTTTCCGTCCTATATGCATGAGTTTGCTTGTCGTTTTAAATTTGGTGATGTAGACTTATTTTCACAGCTCATCATCACTTTGGTGACAATTATAGATAAATGAACATGCGTTTTCACTTTTGTGTCACTGAATAAACATTAAACTGGTTTTATATGGTTTTAATTATTTTTTAATAATTTTCAAATTTTTAAAAATTACAGACGCTAAAATACAATATTACCTAGATAAGAGTATGGTTGAACTCAAGATTTTGCTAAAATTAAAGCAGACAATTTGCGCCATGTTGTCATTTTTGTGTTTATTTAACTTAATAGGTTTAGTTTAGGGTTTAGGTTAAGTTTAGGGTTCAGGTTAGATTTAGGGATAAGTTAAGGGTGAACTTTCACGGGTCGTGGCGGCCGGGGCACAGATTGTCTGAATTTAACCAAGATTTCAATCAATATTACTAACTTTGACTTTGGCAGAAATCTTAAATATTGTCAGATTGCCATTAATGATAAATTATTTTTAAGAGCTATTGCTTTTTGAAAAGACCAAGTCCATCTTTTTATCTTTATTTATAGAAGAGGAGGTACAATATTTTTGGTGAATTTTTTAAAACCCCTTGCCCTTATTTACCAACTTTTCACATTTCTGCCTAATTTATCCACAACTTTTTATTTTAAAAGATAATGATACCAAATTTTCAGGAGACATTCTAAATGCAATATTAAATAGGCTAATACTAATATACAATGAACAGCAAGTATTTTTATTTTGGAACATTTTTATTTGAGGGTAAGTTAAATAAAAATTATGAAACGAAAAATTAGATAAATGATTTTTTATAAAGGCAAAACCAAGAAAATAACATGTTTATTGTATTTTATTTAAGAATATGTTTCTGTTAAATTTTAAATTAAGGCTAATATTTATAAAAGGTAATTAGAAGTCTTTTTTAATAAAAATGAATGCATTAATAATTTTTAAAAAACTAAAATCCCCCAATACTACATATACGTGCATATCGGTAACAGTATGTGATTTAAATGTATTGAGTATTGAGGATGTTCCGTCTGTCAATTTCTGGGTAGACCGCTCCATAGACTTCTTGGTATTGTTGATGCATCCCACAATCTTTCCTTCATAAACTTTGTCTTGGCCTTCCATGTTCAAACATGTTTCTCTGGAAGTAGCCTAGACACAACATCTAATCCTGAATCTATTCAATTTCTAGTTTCTTTTTATTATTATTATTATTAATATTATTCAAGTTTTATGTTTATTAAAATTCATCTTTTTTTTTTCTTTTTCTTTTTTTAGAAGTATTAAATATTTCTAATAAAAATAAAAATTATTTATTGTAATTTTGAGTATTATTTATTTATTTGATATCTTTTAATTAAAAAAAATTATGGGCTTATTTATATATAGACTGTTATGTCAATAATTTTAAAATTACTTTGATTATAATTATACAATATAGCCTAAGGCATATATAATAGCACTAGACTCTAACTCTTAGAATACAAGTAAAGACATAAAGTGAGTAGATTAAGTATTTTAGAATTTTTAGAATATTACATTAACTTAAACAATTCTTTAAAATGTATAATTAAATACCTTATTAATTATTAAATTAAAATATACTAACTTAAATTAGGTCTATAAGTGCAGTTGTAGTAATAGATTATAATTTGGCTTATGCTTTATATAGTACCGGCAGATAAGTATTTTTTAAAATTGTAAGTCTAGAACAGTAAGCTTAAATTAATTTTTTTTTCTGTATTCAAAACTTATGTTAAATTTAGTTAGATTTATTCAGATATTTAAAGATTACAGAATATGAAAATTCTCTTACTGATTGTTATAGCGAGCCATTCCATTTCCGGTGAAGATATTAAAAAATCTCAAAATTGGGGGTGGGGTGGGGGGTGTTTGATGACTTGTTAAAAGGGCTAACATTCAAAGGGAAAAGCCATAAGGACTATTTAAAAGTTATTCCCAAACCAAATTTTAAATGCTGAAAGGCAAATTTTAAGTGCCAATAACGCTAAGTTTCTTAAATAAAGTACAAAATGGTAAAAAAGACACAGCACAAAAACGGAAGTTCACCTCCTTGGGTAAATTGTATGAGCATCACCGTAAGACAGATATTTTACATAATCAAAGACAAAGATAATTTATTATTAGAAAAGGGTGACATAAAACACAATTAAACAACTCCTAAAACAAAGTTTTTCGTTTAAATCCTTTATAAAATGTAATGACGAGAAATTTGGGGGGGCAAAAAATTTGAAAAAAAATTCATTCAAGAGACACACTTTATAAGAAACCCCAATTAGTGCTCTTATATACTCATGTTTTGCACTAGGTCTCTTTGGGTCTTCCATGTTTTTATTGTCCATGGGCTGTCCATCTTAGATTCCACCCATGGAACGCAGCTAGTTGACATTGTAGTACAAACATGACTACACTATCTGCAGTGAATCCCAGCACAGTTTTAGTAATGGTTGTTACTCCCAATTAGCATCTCAGTGCTTTGTTGGAAATTGCCTTCAGCCAATTTATTATGGATCCTTCATAGGCATTAGGTCTGGACAATATATATTATATATTTTGGTGTTTAAAATTAAAACAGGGTCAGTCTTTATGTTTAAATGCAAATTTAAATACATTTTTCATTTTAAGCTTGAGTCCAAAGACTCCGATTATCAAGGACTGCTTGAACGTCACAAGAATCATTATGTAGCTTTGGATGTAGTTAGGAAAGAACTCCTGTAAGTAGGAGTGTTATTTTTATGATTATTTAGATATAAAAAAAGTTTAATATGATTTATTTGATTAATTTAAAAAAAATTAATGTTAGTCTTGATGAAGTTTTTCATTAATTTGATTGATCTACAGTTGTAATTTTATGTTCTTAACAAAATATTGTTGACATGCTTTACTTTTCATTCTATGTTATTTATATTATTTTGTTTTTTAAGTAAACTGTTTTAGTGTTGTACAATTTATTTATAAATTACAGAAAAGCTAACATAGAAACAAGAGTTGTCCATAGATTTGAACTGGTTCAAAGTGTTGTTGACTGGGCTGATGTAGTGTTTACAGCTGGTGGAGATGGCACATATCTTTTGGCTGCTAACAAATTTATCAACACAAGTAAACCTTTAATTGGCATTAACACAGATCCTGACAGGTAATCATTATTATTTTCTTTTTCCTATAAAGTTATAATCTTTTTATTTATACTTCTTTAACCCACTCCTACATGACCCTCAATTTATGGTCCTTCCGAATTCTTACGTGCTGCAGTAAAGTATTTGTGTTATGTTTAAGACTGTGGATGCGTTTGTCAGGAGAAAAACAATCCACACCACTTGGAAATAAAATTTGACAACTGTTTTCAGAAATATATTTTATGGATCTGTAGTCACATATTTCAACAAAGAAATCTAACTAAACCCTCGTGAGGCGACTGGGGCAAACTATTTGCCCAAGAGCCAGTGGGGAAAAAGACAAAGGGCCAATCCATCCCAAAATAATACAAGCTGCAATATTGACTAGCTGGTCTTTCTACCAGCTAATTAGATTGCTTCTTGCATTCATTGAAGCTTCCATTGATAGATTATGATGTTCTGTCATTTTATATTAATTTTTTTGGTGCCAAATTACACTTATAAATATAGATCCTAGACATATGCCGCACAGCGTTTGACCAGACTGTTTCAATAAAAATCATTTCTTTTTCTTAAAATTACTTTTCAGATATAAATTTGTATTTCTTGTAGACATTTTTTGGAGTTAAAACCAAAGGTATATTAATGCCACATTAAGCCTATCAACATATTGATTATTACATGATTACTGTATATTAGGAGACCTAATGTTGAATGGTTAACACAGTGCCAACAAACACCAGAACTGGAATTGAAATGAAGATGTTGGCATTGTCATAACAAGGTCAATAAACAGCAGTGCTTGAATCGTTATCATGCTCAAGTAGCATAGTGGAACATGCGCCAGCACTGTCAAAATGTAATCTCTACTTATTTCCTCTTTGAACAGATCAGAGGGTCATCTTTGTCTTCCAAAAAGAGACTATGCAGCCATAAAGTTTGGTGATGCACTCAAAAGACTGTTAGCTGGAGATTTTGGGTATAGTTATTAAAGACTCATTATAAAGAAAAACCTTGACAATTATGTTTAGTGCAGTTAAAGTTAAAGACTTACAATCATTTAAATTACATATTGCTTATCTCTGAAAATTACATGTATGATGTCATTGGCAAATTGAAATGTATTTTTTTTTAAAACTTAAATTCTATTTTTAGAAAGGAGCAATGTTTGAAAATCAATCTCATAATAAATATTGTATTTTACAATACAGCTGGAAATGGAGACAGCGTATCCAGGTGACAATGTCAGGCAGACACATCAATGATGACCCCATTGAGCTGCATGATCAACAGTTGATATTTCCGGAGCATAGGTTTACAGAGCACATAGCTGAGGATGAGCAAGTGAGAGTTCTTAAGCAAGGAAATGATGAGAAACTGCTGTATCCAAAGAGAACCCTCCCATGTCTGGCTCTAAATGAATGTTTCATTGGAGAATCCCTTTCATCAAGGTAAATGTCTTTATTAATGTTTTATTGGAGAATTCCTTTCATCAAGGTGTCTGAATGAATGTTTCATCATTGGAGAATTCCTTTCATCAAGGTAAATGTCTTAATGATTTTTTTTTATTGGAGAATCCCTCTCATCAAGATATTTGCTCTCATCAAGGTGTCTGAATGAAGATTAATTTATTTTTTTTTGGCCAAAGCAACTCCATAGTATAAATGTGCCCATTAAAAAGGTAGCTTGTGGTCATAAAACAAGCTACTTGCAACTATAACTTATATTTTGATCTTTTTGTTCATTTCTTTGTGTCTCCAGAGTTTCATACTATGAATTCTCAACAGACACTTTAGCAAAGGAAAAACAGAAGAGTTCTGGCGTGACTGTCTGTACAGGAACAGGTTCAAGCTCCTGGCATTTTCACATTAATCACTTATCCATTTTCTCAGTCAAGAAAGTTCTTTCAATTGGTAAGGAATCCAGCTTAACATTGCAAAATGATTTTAAAAATATAATAGTAAGCAATAGTTTTTTAATGATCCAGCATGATAATATTGATTATTAGATGTTACAAAAATATTTTTACATTTTAAATGGTTTGTTAGTTTAATGGGAATAACTTTTTTAAAAATAATTCTTTTAATAAATGTATTTACCTTTTTGCTTTTTAAAGTTTCTCTCAAAAGATTAAGATGGGGTCACCAGGGGCCACGTCGAGCCTGGTGCCTCTTTTTATATGTCATGCTAACAAGAATGAAGTTTATGTTTGACAATCCCTTTTATATGTAAAACTGGGCTCTAAGTGGGCAATGCAATGTAGCTTTCCTACAGCTTGCTAACAGCAGAGCTTCCATTTTTATACTTGTATCACATCCTCTTTACCATCCCCTCTCTTACATTCGTTTGAACACCAACCCAAATTTTTGGAACAAATATTTATGTTCAGATGCATTTGCATCTTGTCAGTGACCAAGCTTTAATAATACAGACTATAATAACACATTGTGATGTTTGGTTTGTAAATAACCAAATGTGGACCAACTACCCCATGCCATACTTTGTATATTTTTTATATTATCTCAAGGCCATTTTAATTACCTATCCCTAGCAGTTATCTAGTTATCTCCCTCGGCATGTAAAAAAGTAGACATGACATATCACCTTACACCCATGTGACAAAAGTAGACATGAGATATTGCATATGTGACATAAGTTGACATGACATATCACCTTACAACCATGTGACATAAGTAGACATGACATATCACCTTACAACCATGTGACATAAGTAGACATGACATTGCCTTACAACCATGTGAGATAAGTTGACATGACATATCACCTTACAACCAGGTGACATAAGTAGACATGACATATCACCTTACAACCCTGTGACATAAGTAGACATAACATATCACCTTACAACATGTCACAAAAGTAGACATGACATATCCCCTTACACCCATGTGACATAAGGAGACATGAAAAATTGCCTTACAACCATGTGACATAAGTAGACATAACATATCACCTTACAACCATATGACATAAGTAGACATGACATATTGCCTTACAACCACTGACATAAGTAGACATGACATATCCCCTTACAACCATATGACATAAGTAGACATGACATTGCCTTACAACCATGTGAGATAAGTTGACATGACATATCACCTTACAACCAGGTGACATAAGTAGACATGACATATCACCTTACAACCATGTGACATAAGTAGACGTGACATTGCCTTAAACCCATGTGACATAAGTAAACATTCTTTTCTAAGTATAAGTAGTCTGTCTTATTGCTTGACAGTATTACAAAGGACAAAAATGAACGATTTGCTTCATCGTAGTAAACGGCAAAGTACATTTAGGAGCATGTTCCCCACATCCTGTTAATCCCTCATTATGGACACCCATAAATATTTAGGTCACACACTCCACCCTAACCCCACCCCTCAACTTAGGATGTAAGAATGCCTCCTGGCTCTTTAAAAAGAGTTTGCTCACTGATTTTAAAAGAATTTATGAGCTAATAATTGCTATTGCTCACGTTTATGCATAAACTATTTTTTTTTAAATCTTAAATTTAAAAAAAATCTAATTCATTTCATCCAATTAAAGTCGAAGTTAAATAAAATTGTGCATATAATTTCCCAGCTAATGAAGTTTCTGGCTGCAACTATCCCTCGCAAAACCAAGAAATGGCTGAGACGATAATGAATAAGTTTAACAGCAGTTTACGCTTTGATCCAAGTGAACCTCTTATGGCATACACTATCCGTGATCCAATCAGAAATGGTAGGTTGTTCAATTTAGAAAGCTATATGTGTATTAAATAGTTGTATGCTTGTTCAATGAATGGTATAAAGTCTATAAGTTAACATATTCTTTAAGAAAACATTGTATCAAAATTTAGAAAATTTAATTGTGGGACACAACCTTGTTTCAACTTATATTAAATTATCTTCCAGTTACTTCCCTTAAAATTATTTTTTTTATTTTAAAAAATAATTTTCACCAGTATGTGGTTAATTTCATCATCCATTGGCAAATTTATTGTTTGTTAACCTGGCAAAAAAGTTAGCTGACTTTGAAGACCTTTCCTGGTGCCGCACCCATTAGGAAAGGCGTCTTTTGTGGACATAAGTTAAAAGAAAAAATTGATTTGAAGGCGTTACAGTGATTATATTTTATTTTTAAAATTTTAAAAATTATATATTGAAAAAAGGAAAACTCATTTTCCTAGGCTAGAAGTTGAAATGGTTTTATATTTAATAAATTCGCAAATTAGCTAACAACAAATTGAAACAAATTGTCATTACTTTTTACTGTATTACTATTTAACATTTTCAAGTTCACTGATGCTTTGGCGTCTTATAGTTTTCTTTATTTTTTTTCTTAAAGCTGTTTTCAATGTAGAATGCACAAGTGGCTTTGCCAAAAAGTGAGTTATGTTAATTTTTGTGCTGTTTACTATTAATTAAAAACCATTGTAATTATAAATTGTTTATGCTAAAATTATTCAAAATCCATCTTAAATGTATTTTGAATTATTAAAATGGTTTTTCTCCAATCCTAGGAAATATTTGTACAACTATTTTTTTTTTTTATATTTTACCCAGAATAACAATTCGATCAAGAATGTGGGATGCATGCTTGGTCATAGATGGGGGAATGTCTTTCAAGTTCAATGATGGCGCGGTTGCTACTTTTGAGATTGCTGATAACAATGCTCTCAGGACAGTGACTTTAGACTGATCTGTTTTTGTAAAAAAGATGTGTCCAAGCTTTACTTTTTATTCTCCTGTCACATTTCTGTTAGAATAAAATTTTTAAAAATTGAATCCGTCAGTGAGGTGTAGCAGAATTACATTTACCTGATTTAGCCTTGACCGAATCCATTCCCCAACAATACCCTGAAAGCTTTACTTTCTTAAAATATAAAATTCGCAGTTTTAAAATGATATTCTGGTATCAACTTTTGACTTCTGATGAGAGCACTTTGAAAGTGACAAAACTGTTGTTTTTTTTCCAGTGCATAATGTAAAAGATTTTTATATGTGTCAGCTTTGTATTTAAACCTTTTGAGTTTTCAAATGGCTACTGGTGTGAACAAAGTCAGTTGGTAGATCTCACAAAGAGAGTTAGTGAGCTTATTTAGTGTCAAATGTGTTTATAAATATGCTTGGCTTGAATCTTAGACAAGTTGAACATCAGAAATATGTTCTGGCTTCATTACATCATCATTCATTTTGATTCAAGCTTGAATGACCTTTTCAGGGTTGATGAACAAAAATTATATCCTTAAAATGAATCACACTTCAGAAAAAGTCTTGAATAATTCCAGGGGCAACATTCCTGGTATTAACTTCTATAATACTTAAATATCTTCATATCAAATTGCAAGTCTGTGTTAATTCTTACAAAGATTTAATTAAGTCTGATTTTATATAATACATTTTCACATATTGAATAGTGATAATGGCCACTTTACTTTTTAAATCATAATAGAAGTACTGATGTTTCAGAATTCTGATTTAACAGCATTAAAGGAGAAAAAAAATTATTAGCTCAGACTTTAATAGATCTGCATTTTCTCTTATCCGTTTTTTTTTGTTGTAATTTGTACATAGACATAATAGTAATGATAAAGGATAGCACATTTGTGGTATTCATCTGTTTTGATCTAATTCATATCTTTACTCTTCAGAGACGTGTTCATGATTTACACATAATGTTGAGAAGCTTGTAATTGCAATTTTGACATTGGTATATCTCATAAAAATGTTGATTTTTTTATACAATGAGCAAATGTAAATAATTTTTTTTTATTTTCTTGCGTAAAGTAAGTTAAAAAAAATATTTATTCTGAAAGTTCTGAAAGAAATATACATGGGTTCTTTTGAGTTGAATAATGCAATTTTCATGACAAAATTTAAATAATGATATTGTGCTGTTTCACCTGCAGCACTGAGATATGTTATATGAATCATAAAAAAAAAAAAAAACTGTAACAGTAAAGCTTAAATACATTAAACAATAAAATAATGGGACCCTACTAAAAATCTTAAAGTTTTGAAAGAAATATACATTGGTTCTTTTGAGTTGAATAATGCAATTTTCATGACAAAATTTAAATAATGATATTTTGCTGTTTCACCTGCAGCACTGAGATATGTTATATGAATCATAAAAAAAAAAAAAAAACTGTAACAGTAAAGCTTAAATACATTAAACAATAAAATAATGGGACCCTACTAAAACTACTTAAGTCTATTGATAATCTAAAAACCCAGTTTCATTGTGTCCTGCTATATGAACTGAACATGGTTGTGACACTGACAGTCATGTGAGAACCAAATATGTCTTATAACTTTCTGCCATCTGTGGATATTCCAGGGGTGAAATTAGGAAGCTAGTCAACCTGGCTCTTTTGTAAAATTCTTTATATTAACTTTGCTTTTGTGTGTTTAGGGCAAAATCTTCAGACAGCTAATTGACCCAGTTCCCGTTAACCTACTGAGCTGAAACTTGACACATATACCCATTGCCGATGAACAACACATTCTATCAAATAAATTTTCAGCTCCAACCCCCAAAAATCAGTTTTTCAAGGGGAGATGATGGAAATATGATCCCACTCATTTCTTGAAATAAAATTCCTGATAACTGGGCTAAATGAGATTCTTTAAAAAAAATATTGTAAGTGCGTTTGGTGCTTAAGATTTTCTTTTGTTTCTCTGCAATAGTTGGTTAATTAAATCTGTGGCGTAAAAGCGGGTGGGACATTAGAATAATTATATAAATTAAAAGAATAAAAAAATGCCTATTATAAAGGATTTATACACAAAACTTAGTTTACTTAAAAAAAACACAATTCATGTTTTCTAACAGTTGGCCAATAAAGGGCAAGCTATATATCATAGTTTATCATTGAGAGGCACATTACACATCATAGTTCATAGATGTGCACACACATTACACATCATAGATTTTAGATATGCACATACATTAGACACAATGGGTTATAGATGTGCACATACATTGACAGGCTGAAAATGTTTAGCTAAATATCAGTGCCTTTTAAGATACAGTGGTCAAGTATTATGCTCACTGTGATACTGTTTAAATTTTCTTGCATGTTAATATATCTGGTTTCTGAAGACTTGCTCTAATGATGAGCATTGGGTATTCAAACATTTAGCAGTATCTGCCTGGAACTGGAAGTCTAAGCTTTTTCCAAAATATTTGCTTCAGTAGTGTCTTGGCTGTAGTCAGTTTGGAAAATCATTATAATATGTCCCAGAAAACTTTGACTTTTGTACTAGAATATTGTTTTTCTCTAAAGCCAATTTTCAGATAAGATGATAGAAAATTACACAGACTGTTCTATGGGAATTTAAGATGATATTGCAGACAGCATAATTGCCATGGTCAATTGAGACAGCTGAATGCATGCACATGTTAGAAAGTTTTTATTGAGTGTGCTGATTATGAAATAAGAAAGAAAATTGTTATTGATCGCCAAAGCTTGGGACCATGAAGGGAGAACAACAACGAGAGACGGTTATATTTATTGCGAATTATTTTTTTTTATTCTAAAGAGGTAACACATTCCTAGTCAATCTAATGAGCTGGCCTTAATGTCTAAAATATTTTTTGTTCAATATTCAACAATTTATGTTTTAATAGATGCTATTATTACTATGATTGTTGAATGGTTTCTCAAAGCTTTTCCAGTAGCTTGAAATATTAATGGTTGATGAAAAGCTATTCTGAAGATCAGTGAGCATCGATCCATTCTATACTATTGTTAGTGCACAGCATTCAGAGTCACATCATTATTTTGGTCCTTCGAGTGTGTCACATTATGATAGAAATTTTGAGTCCCATCAACATTGAGGTATAGATCATACATCGCAGAGCTAATTTTGAATTCGAAAAACTCATTCTGTTTACACTAAGAGTAAAATCATTTTATATTACTGCTTGCACTTTAAGTAAATGCTCATTAAAGCATTTATATGACATTTAAGTTCCTGGTTTTTTTTTTAAGATGAAAATGAATGTCATCAGGTGAAAGAACGGGAAAGCTTGCTCGGGTAAAATACGGGATGAAAACGGGAAGAATTTTAAAAAATTAATTTTGAACCACAAAGTTAAATTCACATTTAATTATGATATCAATAATAGTTCCCTCTTACAGCGAACTGGCATATTCTTTGAAAAATATTACTTACAGGATAAACTAGACATAATTCAAGAAAACTATTGCCTGGCCTGTGATTTAATTTTACTTGTATTTGTAACTAAATAAATTAAATTATGTTGGTTTTTTTTGGTTACTACTAAATTGTACTATCCAATGTTAATGTTATGAGCATATTCTAAAATTGTATTTAATGGCCAAGTTTATTAGTCAACATTCTCTTGAAAACTAAATAAAGTTATCGCTACATGAATCTTAAAATGTTATCTCAGACAAGTGAGAATGTAACAGTTAAATAAATTTGACATCTGTCTGTGCAAATGGAATAAATTCTTTGATAAATGTGTATACATAATATAAATGTAAATAAAAACTGGAAAGCCTTGTCACCATATCAGCTGGTCATCAGACTGAATCAATGGTTCTTTTTCTCATATAAATATTGGATAAACGTATTGATAAATGTGTATACATAATGTAAATGTAAATAAAAACTGGAAAGCCTTGTCACTATATCAGCTGGTCAGACTGAATCAATGGTTCTTTTTCTTATATAAATATTGGGAATGCTTTAAAATGATCATGCCGTTTCATGCAAGGGTGACATCCCAGCGTTAATTATAAAAAAATGTAAAAACTGCTAAAAGCTTCATGACATTTATTTGTTGCCCAGTGGCCATTAAGTTGTGAAGTTCTTTAATTTCATATTTTGTAACCACCTAAACAGGTTTGCACATTTGTGATTTCAATACAAAGTTGTGTTCCCTTTCAGTTTTGAAATTTGCGATTTTTTTATGTGTGCAATGTGCCGAGACATCCCTTAGCTTGTATGGTGAATGAGCTTGAACATATCTGGAAAACTGTATTTATTTAGAAAAATGAATAATCTGTAAGTAGCCGAGGTTCTCAATCTGTGGTCTTCAGACCACCGTTATCTCGGCTAGAGAGCTCATTATTTTTGTGATTGCTGTGATTAAATACTAATGGCATCGATATCATGTTTTAATCATGTACCGGGGTACATGGCATTTTTTTCTATCCCAGAGAGATGATTCTTATCTTTTAACTTTTGTTGTTTATTAAAATGTGTATTATGACATTTATGGATCTTTTATCATGTGTTTGTTATGATTTAAATGCATGTTTTATTGCTAAAAATAAGTGTGTATTGTTATTTTCAGATAAGCTCAGAATCATATTCCAGAAACTTTAATCTGAGATGACATCCCTGCATTATGTCATGACCTGGAATTGTGTATATAGAGTAGTGTATAAAGATTTTATTTTTACCCGACTCTTCATCCCTGGAATGCTGTATCATACAAATTCATGTATTGATTTCATTTATTCAAGAAAAGTAAAGATATGTTCTCAGCAGAAAAGCTTTTTCACTTTATTTTAATTAGTTTATAAACAATTATATTACTATATATGGCACCCTTCCATCTTTGCCAGACGATGAAGTAGCTTTGGACACTTCATCAAATGACTTATTTGGCCAATCCTGAAATGGCAGTCTCGGCTGCATTCCTCGCTGGAGAACCTTGACTCCTGGCTCAATGTGGCCTTCTGTAATGCTCTTTTTGTTTTCTGGAGATTGTTTTGCACATCTGCCTTTTTGACTTCTTTATACACTGCTGTTCGTCTGCTGGAACGGTGCTCATCGATGATCTCCCATTCGTTGATTTCTATGTTGCCCCTTTTTCAAAAGTCCTTAAATCACAGCTGCGGTCCTCCAATAAGTCTTGCCCCTGCTGTCAACTCTCCATACACACATTTTTGCATGTTCCAAAACCACTGCAGGCACCTTGTCCTGCCAACAAATGTGATAAATGTGTCGCAGACATCTGTGATGGAAACTGTTGAGTTTCCGCTCATGATTGGCATATATGGTCCATAATTCACTGCTATATAGGAGCGTACTAATCACGAATGCCTGGTTACTATATTCCATTGAAAAATCAATAAAATTTTAAAGAAGGATTGGATTCTTTTCTTCATCCTCACTTCTTCTGGAGAATGTGGAAAAATATATTCTTGTACTTCTCTTTTTTAAGTCGGGCACTGGCCAGAAATAATTTCTAATGAATGAAATTATCTATTTGATAGTACCTCTTTCGTTTTTAAACGAAGTCAATAAAAAAAGTTTTTTTGCAAATTGTAACATTGACTCATTGCTACAGTTATTTGAACTGGCAAAAACCACTATGCTACAGCAGTAGACAAGACGGACTGATCACTATACGTTAAGCAATGGCCAGGCTGACCATTTGATCAATCAATACCACTACTTTGTCAGTATTGTATCACTATGTGAACACCCTTACTATATCATATGGTTATAGTATATGTATTCCATAACTGATTTGATGCACATGATGTGCTCAGCTGTTTAAATATGTATTCTGTGTAATTCTTAACTGGTCAAACATTTAGTATTGCTATTTTTAATTACAGTATGTACTCATGTATAAGTTGAGTTATGTTAGGTGTAAACTTCATTTTAAAACATAGAGTCGACTTATGAGTCAGTGCTGGTGTTGATAGAATTTTGCATTTTGAATGTAGGGACAGTGTAGGTACCGGTAGTGCTAGTGTACTTACAGGTAGGCGTACATTGTTCCAGATACTGGTACACATACACAAAAAAAAAACAGCTGTACATGTGTGACTGAAATCTACGACCAAGCCACATGTGTCATCACTGACTGCCGAGTCCATCAGCCTCTATCATCGGCAGGATAGAGGACACTGGTATAAATCGCGGGGATACAACTTGGTACCACCAACTGTGAAAGAATGTATGCCTAATGACGACAGCCAAAGTTTTGTACCAGTATAGAATGAGGCAATTGGTGCTAATTAGGATAAAATATAAACGTCACAGAATTTTATAGCGCCAAGTATTACCCTGGAATTATCCACGTGTCATAACATATATCATAATTATTGGTAAAAAAACTGCCCTTGACTTATAGACAGATCAACTTATAGATGAGTAAATACAGTAGTTGATTTGCGTGTAAATATTGTATGTGTATATTGTTTCAATAAAATTAAAGAAAATTACTGTTCTATTGTGGATTTCATTTATTTTTATGGAGTTACAGTCTTAATAAAAAAAATTATTATGATAGTATGTCTGGGCTACAAAGGGACTTGAGAATTATTAGTTATGTAGATAACAAGTCTAGGCTCAAAAAGACTTGATAATTTTGCAGTTTAATCTGAGCTTCAATGGTGCCTGAGAATAACACAACTCTCCAGAAATATATGTACAAAGTAAAACATCTTTCACCTATTCAATGTTCATTAGCCTCAGGTTTGAAACAAAACATCCAAAGATAGTGATATACACTATGAGCTTTTATGTGTTGGAGCCACAGATTTCTTAACAAGACAAAACCTCATTGGATGAAGCATTCTGCATATGGTTCTGCCAGCATAAAACAATCCACTCAAAGATCAAATAAGGTCATTACATTTTATATTTATTTATACTACAAGTTCTCTGGGGTTAAAAAAGTTTTTGTATGATCACTAACAGCAAACAAGTTCAACATCTGCTTCTCCAAGGGATGCATATGACCAGGAATGACCAATGAATGTAAGGGTGGCCCTAAGTCCAAACTAGCCATTTCTTTTAAGCTTGCTGTGACAATTTTTTGATTGTCTGCACCAACTCTTGCCACAGCTACACAAATTGAATTAGGTGTAAGATCTGTAACAGAAATCAATAGAACATAAGCTTATTTAACAAATGAGTTTCATGATGACATGTAAAGGGTCATAATGAAACGACATAAGATCAGAGTGTACCTGTAATAATACAGGCAAGAAAAAAATTCTCTCCATCAAAAATAGTAAACTACAATTTTAAATTTTTATGTAAGATATTCATAAGTAATTATTATAACACAGAAACCAGCCATCCTGTGAAGTCTCACTTCTTTCTATAATGCCCCATATTGACTTCCTAGTAACTATTTGATTTTCTATAATACAGGTACAATTATTTATGGCAAGAATATTCATGGAACATTTAAAAACAAATGTGAAGAAATTAAAGTCAATTGAAACTACACTTTCAAAGAGGACTTATTTTTGTTAAAAAATCAAATTTTCTATTCATAACCTGGAGCTGTTAAATATAGAGAAATTAATTCCAGGCAACTTAAAACCACATACAAAAATTCACCTGAATTTGTTTTCTTTTCAACGCTTCTGTTTTCAATTATTTCCAGAAGTTGCTGTGCTGCCTGAGCAGCGCTTAAAAAACGAGGTGGCTCATATATGGGACGGCCTCTGTTATTATTACAAATTGACAAACAGAATTTTTTTTATTCATCTTATAAAATAAAATAGCTTAATAATAGTTTCTAACTTATTAACGTATATAAAAAAAAAATTAAAAATTAATAATGTATTAAAAATATATTTAATTTTGGGTGAACTTAATAGACTTAGTTGTGGGCAAGCATTCTTAAATACAGTTCTGACAAGTTTTTAAAGTAATTTTTAAATGGATATTCTATTGATAGAAACTTTGATTAATTTTTAGTGCAGGCTCACATAAGCCAGGTGCACTTAATTTTTTTTATAGGTATACCAGTAACCAAAACACTATGAGTGACTTACTTCATAAGATTCTCTATTGTCTGCTCTTTCATTTTAATATCTGTCCAATGAAAATAAAAACAGCACAAAAAAGCTATTTAATAAAATAATGCCATTAATATCAAAAGCATACATGTTGATCAAATTTATGATGCTTCTTTTAACAATTACATAACATAAAATTAAAACTTTGTAACTTTTAATGATTAGCAAGGTTAAACATTTTCAGCTAGTAATGGACTACAACAAACCTAGGAGACACAGTGTATGCAGACCTCTGTCTAAGTTGACTAGAATCTTGTCATAGAAGCTTTCAGGCTTCCATTCTTCAGTCCAAAATACTATAGAAACAGTTTCTCCGTAGTTGTATAGCTAATAGAAACACAGTAACGACAGTTTCACCTTAGTTGTTTAGCTAAGAAATAGTAATATAATAAAAACAGTTTCACATAGTTGTTTAGCTAAGAAATAAAAAAAATGACAAAAAAATTAACATACGTTAAATATGATTGTTCAAGATTTGGAAATTGTTTTCAGAATTTTTTTAAAACTTTGAAAATAAAGATAGTTAAATTTTTTATTTAACTTAATAATTTTATCTCTAGATTCATACATGCAATTTTACAATTTAATTTCCTAAAAGCATCCCTACAAAAAAATATTTATTTTAATACTAGTCATATGCAACGTACAGTATCCAATGACACTGATAATCGAAGCATTGTGAACAACTTGATCTTTTCTATAAAAATTATATGCTACCCACATCGACCAATAGCATTTATAATTGAAACAACCACACATATATTATTATAATTGTTACCTGCAACCCACAGCATCCAATAGCATCCATAATTGAAGCATTGTGAACAACACGATAAGGTATATTTTTTTCAACCGCTCGTAGTATGAGATCTGTGTGTGTTGTGGCCCTTTGAATACAATCGTTATATTTTAAACTTAAGTTGTATAGTATAATTAAAGAATTTAAATGTAAAAACTTGATTGATAACTATTAACTATCAGAAATATTGTTAAACATTCAGCATAAGTGAATATCAAAGTATGTTATAAATCCCAATGCATCTGTATGAAGCAGTTCATCAAACTGACAAGTTGCTCATAAAATGCCTATTTCATTTACAAATCAGACCTATATAATGTTAAAAAATATCTAATACTATTTTAAATTGCTTCTTCAATTGAAAACCAGTTGTTAAATATATAGAAAAGATAGCTACAATATAACAATACAAGGGGACTTAATATAATGTCATGGTCATAATTTTTTCAGCTAAATTATTGAGTATTTTAACTTTTACCCTAATGGATCTCCCACCACTAGAAAAGCCACATCAACAACATCAGCTTCTGCCATTAACTCATCTGAAATTCATATTTCAAAACTTATTTTGATTAAATTAAATAAAAGTCAATATATGTAGCATATATTACTGGGTGATTGTGTGGTTATGTGTGTCAACACTTGAACATGACACACATTCTCATGGGCTGTAGTTCAAAGCCCAGAATTACCAGTTATAATAACAACACAAATAGAATTTATAGTACTTGTCAACCTTAGATGGTGGCTTAAGTAAGAGAAGGAAAACTCCTACTACAAATCCCTGTGGTGTTCTGACCATTTTCCCTGTGACATGGAATCCCTTGGCGGTCTCAAATAGTAATAAAACTCCAGACCATGATGCCAGGCTGTATTGACCGTTTGAGGTTCCCTTACCAGATGTGTGGAGATTAGGAGATCTCTTTACTGGGAAACAGTTGTTTCTCTATTTTAAGCTAGAGACATTTAAAGCACAATTACATCATCCTCTCTTGGAGAATCAAACTACATATCCCAGGATATATTTGTATTAATATGATTTTGCCATTGTTATGTAAATTGGAATGAATAGTTCTAGTTTTAAAGTTAAATTACCTGATGATTGTTCAACCATGTCTCTGTCAGCCAAAATGATTCCTCTACCATAATAAGCTTCCTTCAAATAAAAATGTTAAGGCCTATTATATAGCATATTACTTTATTTTTCAAAGGTTAAAATTGCATTCACATTAATAATATTAAACTACCGAGTCTGAGAAAAATAAATCCTCTCCACAAGTAAACACTAAGCATAAAAGTTGAAAGCAAATATCTTTGCATATTGAAAAATAAAATTAGTTGTAGTATTTCATGATATAAAGTAAGGAACATTTTATTTAATAAAAATTAAATTAAAAAATAAGCTGATTAATGATATTTTAATCAAAATTAGATGCTAAGTTTTTTGTTCCTTTCAATTAACAAGCGACAAAGACAATAGCTGACTGTTATATGGTAACTTTAAAAAAAAATATTTTGGGCACAACCAAATTGGCCACACTTTAGACTTTAGGTCCATTTGCAACATGTGTTGGTTAGCAAGAGGGTTGCCCAAATTGAGTCTGAGTCTAAGTACTGTAAGTGTCAGACTACACAGACTACATGTGTTACACTGATTAATGATTACATTTAAGTCTAAGTAAAAAAAAATATGATATAAAAATATAATAATAATATTAAATATTCTTTTAAAAATACAAACTTTGACAAAGATAGACTGAGAGAGGCTACTAATAATTAGGGGTGTGCCGGATCCGTTTTTTCCAACCGGATCCGGATTTTCTTATGCGAAATCCGCCGGATCCGGATTCCGGTTTCTCCCGGATTCCGGATTTTGGTACTATTGGTAGATACTTCGGTAAGTCAAGGTGGACTACTACTTTTTGTGTATGGGAATTCGCAATCGGCGCCAAAAAATCCGAGTTTTTAATTTTCCGATGTGTGTCTATTTATTATTAAATTAGTACTTTCGATATATATTTGAGTTCCGTTCCATTTGGATAAGTGTCTTACGAGAGACGCCATGTTTCTACGCGTTCGCAGCAGGTTATGCAGCTCGCTCAACCTAATTTCGCCATGGGGTTGGCCACGCCCCCCTTTTTAATGGCGGAAGTTGACGATACTTAGGAAATATTAATTTATTATCACTATTTACATCAAAATAATTGATAACTTGTGTTTCAGAATGCATTTAAAGACATTTAAACTGGAATGTTTTAATTTGAGCTTTAACAACCCGGTAGAATCCATATTATAAATGATCAGAATTTACCGTGTGCAACACGTTGTCATTGGCAACCATTCACAGCCACTTGCATAACTGTATCGTAGTACTACCTCAGAGTTTCATTCATAAGAGTTTGCCGTGTGCAAAAACTATTAAACCATTGGTCAGGGAAAGCTTTAATTAATTATTCATGTGCCAAAGTTGAAAGTTTAAACTAAGTCTAAACAGTATTTTAGTGATAAGGCAGGGAATGCGTTGCCTTATATAAACTATATAGTCATTGCGCATGACGGGATTGGTGGAATGAGATCACAGAATGTGGAGATGCAGTCCATGTTAAAAAATGACAAACCAAGTCGTACTTTAAAAATTCATAACTTTAAAACTACAACAGCTAAAAATATGATTTTGGTGTTATAATTCTTTAAAAAATTACATCTTTTCAACTATGCCATTGGTTTATTTTTACAAAAAGTTTAAATTTTCTTATCAAAGTCCCTACACTATTGGCCACTATTAGCGGTGCTGACTCTAGCCTCTGGTATGTACGGAATATTAAACATCAAACAAGCTCAACGCTCGAAACAATCGATTAATGTATCGTGATCGTGTGAAATTCGGGAAAGAGAATTACTTTTATTTCAGATTATGATCCGGTGAGTCACAAAATCTGGCAAATTCCGAAATCCGGTATATTCCGGATTCCGGAATCCGGTTGTTCCGGATACATGTAAATCCGGCGGAACCGGATTTCACCGGATAGTGCAAAATCCGGCGGAACCGGATTCCGGACCGGGGTCCGGCACACCCCTACTAATAATACTATTAGTATTAGTAATAGTCTTGCACTAGTCTAGTTAATACTAAGTTAACTAGTAACTAGTAATAGTAGTTAAATGTTAAGTAGTAAGTAGTCTAAGTCAAAGTCTAGTAATATTTCTTTTACCAGTGCTTCCTTTCCAACAGTTAGAACTGATGTGTATGCCTCTAGATATACTCTCGCTGCCTTTTTTACAATTTCCAATCCTTTAACTGTAATATCATTAGCATCTCCAAGACCCAAACCAACCAAGTAGAACATTTGCGTCAGTGTACCGCAATTTCAATTTCAACCAAAGTATATATATAAAATAGTGTTGTGAGTGTCACCGACTGTATTTACAAATTTTGTGGTAAATGTCTTACCGCGATCTTACTTGCAATCCGAGATAGGCGTACCTTCCGATAGATTAGTTGTTCGTGTCCGTCACATTAGTCACAATCACAGCAGTGGATTTCAACGTTTAAAAAAAAATGTTACGATGATTTTTAAAAAAATGAATTAAAATATTTTATATGTTATAATTAATGATAATTGTTTACAAAATACAGTGTACATCAGTTTCCAAACAAATTATTATTTAGGCATTTGCCGTTGCTTTTGATGGGTCACGTCCTGGCTGGGGAAAAGTGATGAGATCCCCCCACCTCGCACATAAATAAATATTTATTTATTTCTAAGCAAATACAGTGCTCAATTAATTATAAAGTGTTGGTTTACACATGCCATACATGGGCGCCCGCAGGAGGGGCAGGGGGGGCACTTGCCCCCCCCCTGGATTGATTGGATAAAAATTTTTTAGACAAAAATTGACAAAAAAATTATTAAAGTAAAGAGAAAAATAAAGAGAAAGTAACTAAGCTGATGTCCTGTCCGTTCGTTCACCATACAAATACGCTACAGTAAATTAAAACTATATTAAAACATTACTAAAAAAAATTGCCCCCCCCCTGAAAAGTTAATCGATTTTTTTTTGCCCCCCCCCTAGAAAGTTTTCTGCGGGCGCCCATGATGCCATACTAATAACATAAATACCATGTTATGGATTTCTAAAACAAATAGTTTATTGAAAACACTCAACAGACTGTATTGCTAACATTTTGCCCCCCCCCCTAGAAAGTTTTCTGCGGGCGCCCATGATGCCATACTAATAACATAAATACCATGTTATGGATTTCTAAAACAAATAGTTTATTGAAAACACTCAACAGACTGTATTGCTAACGGGAACGGCATTGCTGCTGTGGAAAAGTACAGGAACGCCGCTCCCATGCATTCATGCAGGACTCAAGCCCATCGGCCTAGTCTATTTTATTCGACTTAACTTATACATTATAGCTGGTGTATAAAATAAAGTATATGACTATTAAATAGACGAATTTATATAAATGATCAAAGATAATGTCATGGTTATAATATGATTAATAAGTATCATCTTACGTAGTATAATAATCCGATACACGTTTTTTTTTAAATGTCTGGAAACACTTTTTTACAAAGATTTTTAGGCTATTCCTTTATAATATATTTTTGCGACACATACATGAAAGCATTTTCGGACACACCCGAGTAGAGCAACGCTCAGCCCTAACAACAATGTGCACACATATAGACATGTATCATTACATCTTTAACTCTTCTCGAAAGTAAACATTTCTGATAATCATTGTAAATGAAGTATTTATATTAAATACATATATTGATATTTTACTTTAAAACGTCATTTGACTTTGCAAAGTTTTTTTTTTTTTTTTTTAATTTTTGAAAAAAGCTTTAGTCGCCTTCTCGTATGACATTGCTTTGTCAGTGCGTGATATGCATGTTAATATTATTATATATGGTAATACATTGCATACCTAATTTCTTTTGAGTATATCTTAAAGTTTTGTTTCGTTTTTATTTCACATTAAGCTGTAGGCATATCTTAAAATATTGCGCACCCTCGTGACCCTTGCTTACATGGATAGACCTATATCTAGAAACACCCAAGCCCCCAAACTCGCGGCTGCCAAGCTTTATCCTGTGGCCCAAAATGTGGTTCTCAATTGGGGAACCAGATTGCAATACCGATTATTAATTTGCGAAACATTCAAATGAAATTTTATGTTTTAAATATGGCTTTGAGATTTGCTTACTTTATGTAGCATTTTAGGGGTGGGGGAGATGGGGATGGATGGAAATAACTTTGGTCAGGAACCTCGCCAGGTGTCATGTCTTCCTAATTATACTTATACACTGAGCCTACTTAGTCTAATTACAAGTGAGCGTAAACTTTGTGGTTTTTATACAAAATAATAAAATAACTTGACCTTGATCAATTTCCATATTTTAATTAAGCAAGCTAAAATTCTATGTGTAAAGTGACTGTCAAGTTAAAATGATGCGGCCAACTCGAGTGGAAGCCGCAAGGCAAAGAAAAGAGGTGGAGGCAATTATCATACACAGGGAAATTACTGATATCTCAATCGCTAAGTTTCGCAAGAATATGGCAATGATAAGTCTAAGTCAGTAATCAGTTATGTACAATACTAAACTAGAGGCAGGGGGATATTTGGCTTAGTATTATCACTGGGAAGAGGATAGCAGCTAGAAAAACAAACTACTGTTTACTAACAATAATATTTAGTCTTTTTCAATTCTTTAATTTTTCAATTACTTAAGTGATATTAAATTTACTCTAGTAATAGATTAGAATTGTTAATAATTATAATATTCTCCAAGTTTTAATTACTATTACATTTAAATGTAATAAATGTTTTTCCAATCCGATTTCTATGCCTATTCTAAGTGGTAGTTAAATGCTTAGACTAAGCATTCAACTGGATTCGAATTTATTTATTTGGGGAGTGGATAAACATATGCGACAATATATGGAAGAGTGTATGGGTGGGGTGGGGGTCCCTTGAAATTTTGACAGTTTTTTTAAGAGGGGGAGAGGGGTGGATAAAAACACAAAGTTTTTTTTGATCTAATAATATAATATATATGGACAAGATCTTTTCCGGAAGTTCGTGTTTTTCCTTTCATTTTTGCCTTGATTATTTTTAATACAACAAAAACCATTGGACAAGTCAGTTAGGTTGATCCAACCATTGAAACGCTCTCTGGGTATGACAAAGCTATCTATAGAAGAGTCTGTAATATAATTCTTCTGGAATTATTTGTGTTTTCATCATTATTACATTAAACGAGGAAATGTACAGCTTCAACGGAGATTTTAGACAGAAACCCGTCCAGTCATTAAGAGGAGCGAGCAGAAATGTAAATAATGGTTGTTTTTAATAACTTCTCTACTATTGGGCCTACCTACTGTGACTATATGACTAGCCTACTTACTAATTGATACTAATTTACTAATACCGTGAGTGACGGTCTTAGTCTTAGTCATTAGTTTAACTAATACTAATTAGTAGTCTAGAACTACTAGAAGAATTACTAGATCGTCAAAAATCATTATCGTCATTGTTTTGTTTGTGATAACTAGTATTAACTAATAATTACTAATACTAATAATAAAACCAGAATTTTTAAATAATAGTATTAAGATTAGATGAAGGAGTTAATCAAATCTAGACTCTAACTCAAAATCCCAGTCTGTGACTGTGAGCTATGGCCCTTGCCTTAGTCAATCATGTTCGGAAACCAGTCTTGGACTGGAAGTGGCTACTAAGACTAAGGCTACTATATCATATATGATATATGACATTATATTAATTAAGGGAAGCGTATTTGCAGATATCTGAATAATGTTGAGCGTTATTCGCAGATATCCTGCAAATAATGTTGAGCGTTATCGACAGACTGAAATCTTAGTGAATAATGCAGAGCCTTATTTGCAGACAGAAATTTTCTCATAATTACGCAAATTTCCCCATAATTACGCAAATTTCTAGAAATAATTAAGATCGCATTCCAAACAGGGGGGGGGGGGGGGGGATATGAGTTTTAAGTAGTGTAGGATATATCGATCTTTAATGAGTATGTGTAAAATTTAATAGGCCTAACTATAGCCTATATATTGGATATAGGACAATTAATTGTGCCTACATCTGCTCTGCTAGGGGTCAACATAGTGTCTATTCGACCTATAGAGTGTGACTAATATATCCAGTCAAACCTCTTACTCTTAGACATAACTAATTTTCTGGTATTTCATATTAAAAGTTATACCAGTAGTAAAAATGGTACCGGTATTCTTCATGTGGACTCACTTTCACCCACTGTAGAGAGGTCTTGAAATGATGTCAAAGCTTGATAGCTTATCATTAAGTTTTTTAAAGCACTATGATATATCACCTAGTCCAGAAATGTTCTGTCAGCAATAGTTGACATGCCGCGCAACAGTGTTATGATGCAAAGAGGTGGCTGCCTCAGGCGGCCATGTGAGAGACGGGGAGGGGCATATAGGCCCTACATCGATAATAACATAATCTAATCTTGTTTAAGGCTAGTATTTTTTCCTCATCCTTGAGGTTTTCCCTAAGTCTACCCAGCTCTGGCCTTAGCTGGGAAAAGTAAAGGTGGCTGGTTATTGCGCTGGCCATACACTCAAACTTGTAAATGCTGCTTCAATTGCCCCAAGGGAACTTTACTTCCCCAAGACTCGAAATGCATCCTACGACCAGCAGGGTTCCAATTAATTTTTTAAATGCTTTTTTTAATATTTAGACCCATAGTTACAACAGTGGCAGTATGGCTTTTTGTTTCAATTAGCACCATTTTTTTTACAAGAGCTAAAATTGTTGATGATATTGATATGTTTTAATTACGGTACCGGTAAGTTTATTTCATTGTCATCACTAAGTGTTATTTCAACTATTTCTGGAGCGGCATATTTTGTCCATACTTATTATGATACTCATTAGAAACTAAAATTAAACAAATAAAACGCGACATATTTTTTAGCTAAACATTAATACACAACTTTGAGATATAAAATATTTGAAGAAGTAAGTTATTAATATTTATTTGTTTATTAGAGAAAAAACAAATGGATGTTAAAGTCTATGAATGGAATTATACAAAGAAAATTAAACAGTCAAAGGAGCTTAAAGTATATCACAATGTACAGAGTTAGAACAGCTGTACCTGGCTTAAACATGGTTTATGCGGCTCATCTGCATGTACATGTTGTTTACAGTTTTTTGACGAAACTTGAATGAACATTCTAACAAAATAGATTGAAACTAGAATTTTGAATACCTAAGTTATTGGACAGAATGAAAAGTATAATAAAATTGTACAAATAAAAGTACAATAAAACTATATGAAAATAATAATAATAATAATAATAAAACTATGTGAACAGAATAATAAAGCTATATAAAGAGTATAATTATAATATTACAATACGAATTAACCTTTTTTTTTTTAAAAAAATATTTATTTGTAAAAGGTAGCATCCCGCGGGGAATCGAAACCAGTTCTTCCGGGTGACAGGCGGAAATACTTACCACTATACTACCGAGGAGATGCCTGCAAGCGAACTTTGTATTTTATATTTATAATTTAATTTATCACATTCTGCGAATAATGCCGAGCGTTATCGGCAGACCGAAATCTGCGAATAACGGCGAGCGTTATCTGCACAGATCTGTGAATAATCACTTCGATTAATTAATAAAGGATATTTAATTTAATATTTTTATTAGCCCAAATCAATGTAAAATGTTAGCAGTTTGGATTTGCAATAATATGACTGATTGCTACATATAACTATAGACTATACTATAGTAATTAGCCAATAGCAGACTTAGGCAGCAGTGATTCTTAAAGTTAAACTTAAATAATATGGGTAATGGGATAGCCATGGCATTGGGCATTAGGTCACTTAAATGCTCTATATTTTGGGGTAGACAGGAATTATTTATGACTCAGACATAGGGCATAGGGGTTTCTGATGAATTAAATTTCAGGAATAAGCGTTTTAAATTAAAATTATGTCTATGCTTTAGTAAATGAAAAAGTCTGCATGTCCAGCCTAACATGCCTGAAAATTTTTATTATTTTTGTGTGTGTGTAAGTGTAAACCCACATCTAGATGATATGGTCATGGTTGGCCTACCTAGCTGAAAATTTGTTTATTTAGAAAAGGTTTAAATATAACAGGAAAAAAATCTAAAATGATAAAAAAACTTGCATCAGAAGGGATAAAACAATGTGAATATTTTAAAATTGGTTACTAAGTGAATCAGCAGAATTACATTTCTCAGATTGCTAAGTTGAAAACAAATTAGGGTGGTATGAGTATGAGGGTTAGTATCAATTATGTATTGTGGGAAATTTTAGTTAAACAGCATTGATGAGAATAGATGCTTGTGATGGCTGTGGATTACAGAGAGGTGAAGGTCTAGTCAAATTAGGATTTTTTGTAGTTATACCCTGTTGGGCATATGCTAAATTTATCAATAAAGTATGTGTCTTTAAATTTTTTGTGCACATATGCTTTTGTCTGCTCATCTCTACTCTGTGACAGTAGTAATATGAATTTTATAATAGCTATTTAGATGTTTCAAAATGAAACTTTAATTTCTTTTTGTTTATAATTTTAGGAAAAGAAAGATTCTTTACTTCAAAGAACACTGGATGAAAGACGGAAACGAGAAGTAATTTTCTTTATTATGCTTGATTTTTAAAAAAAATTTTTGCATCATGAGCAATTTGAAACTAAATGTCAATTTGAATCAAATGGTATAAAAATAAATGCTGTAAACTGATATTGGGAAAATAACCTGCCGTTGTTTAAATGAATAATTTGTTGTCTTATAAATTTAAAATATTAGACTTACATATTTATTTGCAGGAGATTAGAACCCAGATTGCAAGTGCCACCTTGATTCAATCACAGTATAGAGGCTACCTGATACGAAAAAATCTAGTAGGTCAATGAAAAAATTTATGTTTGGTTACATGTTATTTTATTAGGAGTACCTATGGATTAGTTTATCAACCAAAAATAGTCTTCTTGAGATAATGTTTGAATATTCTAAAAAAATGTGATTTTTAGTAACATATTTGCTCCATATTCTCTAGCACATATTATATGTTTGCCCATTTGTAAATAAACAACATTTTTGCTACTAAAATATACACAGAAGACTATTGTACACTTAAACTTAGTTAAACAATTTTTAAAATATTAAAACGTCAAAGCATTGGAATTAAAACCTGGTAAAATATATTCTTTTGTAAACTGATATTCAAATCAGTTCTTAAAATCCAACGTAGTTCTGTAACTAAGAGTTTGAATTAATATTTTAGTGGATGCAGATGCGATTGGAATTTGACAGGAAATTTCAGCCTTCAAGTAATCATTCCAAATTGGACATGACAACACTTCAATGGTGCGTCTCTAAGTTGTGTTTTTTCTTCAAAGAAACATTGGATGGCCAACGTCTGGTATGTCTAGGAAAAACAACAAAACACAGCTTTTTTTTTGTTTAAGACAAATATTTTCTGTCTTGATATTTATAAGCAGTTGCCATGACAAATATATTTTGAAAAAAAATGACACAATAATTGACAATTATTTTGTTGGTTATGTTTCCTCTAAAGACTAATCAATATATTTTCCACCTACTTTTAAAATAATTACTTAAATTTCATGATAAATTGGACTTCAAATATTTACAAAAGTCTTTTCTTAAATCAGATTTCTTTAAGCCAGGAGTTGATCAAACATAAGGATGAATATTTAAACAGTTTCAATGGTGTATCCTCAACATTGTACAGGCAACTGAGTTCTTTTCTAAAATTAATTGTAAGGTAAGTTAGTATGGTCATGAAGAGCAGTAGTTATCAAAGTGCGTGGACTTACCACCCATAGGAGATTGGGATTGCTGGGTGGGGAATGCTGAGAGATTTTAAAGGGACACTAGGGTTACCAAAAGAGCTGGTTTTTAATATAATTAAATAAATATGCGATGCTGTTGTGATTTTATCAGCATCATATTATTTACTTTCATAAAACATTTCTTAAACTGAATACAAAATTATTTTGTCAAAGACTAAATAATTTTATTGAGTCTAATTCTAAGACTAGTGGAAAGAGTCCAAAAGAATATCCATATAAAAGATACTTTATCAATTCTTTATAATTGAGTGGCTCTCCCTATATTCTTTACTTTCTTTATCAGTGTGAATTTCATACATAAGGAAAGTGGATGATTTTTATCTAAAGACATATCCTTTATGACATTATGTTGATCTAATTCTAGTGTTATTTTTTTTAGATATCTTTTTGGCATAGCAGAGTCAAACACTCAAATAGCCATTCCAATGAGAATGCTGGAAATATTTCTTTCACCATCTACATACAACAGTGTCAACCTTGGACCATACACAGACAGTCAGAAGCTTGTCTCAAATCTCTTACAGTGTCTTGTCAATGGAGGTCAGTTATAATGTGTCTATGTCGAATGTTTAGAACAATCTACTTTATTTGCAATCAATCTTTATGGAATAGTAAAGGAGTAAGGCTCAGATGCTTACAAAAAGTTTAGGCTATTGAATTACCATGTGTTATGTCAGCTTATATAATATGTTGTTAACTAGTTTATGATCACTGGGTTTAAACACCTTTCAAAGTTTCAAATTTATTTTAAAAATTAAAATTTGAACTTAATGGCACGGCCAACGGATTTAATTGTAGCGCTATTTGAATGAATTATTTTTGTAAAAATTTCTTGTTAATCACCGCATTATTTGTTGTCAACATGTCATTTTTGTCTCTAACAATCTTATTGTTCACAGGCTACTTTAGTTGTCTGCGGAAGCTATTAAACAGCAGAGTACCAACAAGTCTGGAGAAGAATTCTGTTCCACCCACACCGATAGCTGCATCTATCTTTGATCTCATCATGAGTCCTGTCAGTTTTGCTATCTCAGCAGAAAATAAAACTTTCAAGTAATCATTGAAAATCTTTTTTTCAAACTTTTAATAAAGTTCAAAATTATTGTAATAGGGTAAAATGTACACCAATTTATTATGAACATTCACTTTTATTCAAATTTGTTTGTCCAATTTATCAATAAAAATTATATTTCTCTTTATTGGACAGACAAGATATACTGAGAAAAGTCACCAAAACCTTTCTCTGCGAGCAATACACTGAACAGATAGCATTGTTTCTGCTTCCTGCTATGGCCTATGGCAAATATCCATTTCCATTTGTAGAACTGATTCAGACATTAATTGAAGGGTTGGTGGTGCCATCATTGCCATTGAAAGACATAAGAGAGTCCCCATCTCCATCATCATATGCCAACAGTTGGGATGATGAGCAAGATAGGACGAGCGAGGGAGACACCCCTTGGTTATTGGTGTCGGTCTTGATGCTAGCTAACAAAGAACTAGGTAACATCAAGTTTAAGAACTTTAAAAGTTTTGTTTCATTGGAATTTTGCGGAAGGTAACAAGTAGATATAAAAAGATTTATGAAATTCCTCCACTGTAAGTTTTTCAAGTTTATTGTATTCTATTGAAACATTTAAAACAGTTTGATTTTTGATGTTGCAGATAACTTAGATGTCCAGACTTGTGCATCATATCTAAAACTTTTGCACAGATTATTGAAACAACTGCCGCAAAGTAGACATTCTATTTTAAGTCTCAGTGACTCGTCAGATTCAGAGGAAGATATGGATGATGATATGGTAAGAGGGAAAAGAAGAGTTTTTATTTTCTAAAATTCATTGTTTTAGCCTGTGTAAAGAAATCCCATACAACTTAACATCAGATCTGTTAACATCTCATACTTTTTTTCTGGGAATTTATGAAAAATTACAAGTAATGTTAAATTTTGAAAAACTTTCAAAATAGCTTTAATGATTGGAAGCCAGTAAACGATAATAATTTGTTGTATCTCATATGAAAATTACTGATCTCAATGCCAACTTTTCCTTTTATCAGGATGAGGGATTATCCACTCTGTTCAGTTTGCATGCTGAAAGTCTGCGTCTTATTGATTCTGAAGCTCATCTCAAGTGTATCTTTAATGTGTTAGTAAATCTCCCGGCATCAGAATACATCGAGTCTCTAGCCTCCATTGCTTATTGCTTGCTAGCTCATCAGAAATTGGCCATGCATAAAGTCAGGTCAGCTTTTTAACATATGTTTTCTTTTATTGTACATTTACTTACTTTATGTTTTATTTGAACAGACTTAAATACTTTAAACGGTATTGCCATTACTTAGTAAATGTTGTTTAGTGGCTGGACATAAGTGAGGATTTATAATTTTTTTACTAAAGCCTCTAATCCTCAGGCTAAGTGCTAATTGAGTCAGTATTTCAAAGCCTTTGTCTTGTTGTCTCTTGTTATTTGTAACACTTCCCACATTTTATGCCTCTTAATTTGTTTCAATTCATATTTCCCCTTCATTCAGGTTGCTTTATATTTTGGCGTTTAACCCTCAGTTCATGAGAAACCTCTGGGAGGCCTGCTATGCAGCATCTGTTCCTACTGTTACTAGGTATCTTCTTCCATTCTATTTCACAAATACTGAATTTTTTTTAAGTAGAGCACTTTTTAAATAAAATAATTAGACCCAGAAATGTTAAAGATGGAAGATGACAAAACTAAGATTACAGTGACATATGCAGTCTTCATTAAAGAAGAAAATGTGAAATTTGAATCCATATGGAGTACTTATTATTTATCTGGTAGAAATTATACATTTTTTTTGGTTTTGAAAATATTCTGTATTAAATTAACTCATACATCTCTGGCCATTGCAAAAATGTATAATTCCAAAATTGAATAGTCAAAGTATGGCTTGGGCTTGGTATCATAGATGGCACTAAAAAAAGATAATAATAAAAATACAAGCTTTCTTGGAATTGAAATCTGTTTCAGATCCAGCACATCCCTGTTGAACATGTTATCTAAAGGAGTACCAATGTCAAGGACTAACATTGCCAGAATAGTTCCCCTGCTGTCTACATTCTGTTGTTTGTTTAACCATTCACTGCTCACACTGCACGATGGAGACTTCTATGGAGACACTGATGGTAGGGAGACACCTAAACATATATATTTTTTATGCTTATATCACTAAACCAGATTTAGCTGTATAGAAAGCATGTGAATAATGTTCACATCTTCAAGACACATTCAGACCTGTTTACTCTTATGATTTTGGCGTACAATGTATGATTTTGAGTTGTATAGATTGTATACACTGTATGTTTATTTTTTACTATAAATATAATGTATTGAACGATTTTGTGATGATATTGTACGATTTTAAGAGTTTGAGGTTAACAGGTCTGCACATTTTTTTTCCTTTTATAAAACCTTTTTTTTTTTTTCCCTGTAAAAAAGCAACATTTGAAATATTTTAGGAATAACTCACCTGCACTTCAAACTCTTCTTCTTGTATGGTTAATCTAAATGTTACAAAACAAAAAAAATTGTTTAAATTTTGTGATGATATTTTACGATTTTAAGAGTTTGAGGTTAACAGGTTTGCACATTTTTTTTCCTTTTATAAATCCTTTTTTTTTTTTTCCCTGTAAAAAAGCAACATTTGAAATATTTTAGGAATAACTCACCTGCACTTCAAACTCTTCTTCTTGTATGGTTAATCTAAATGTTACAAAACAAAAACAATTGTTTACCAAATGGGTCCTGATAAGAACTTAAGTAAAATATGTGGGGCTGTGTGATGTGAGTTCTAAATGTTAGTAAATTTATCCATAACAATAACTATTTTATTCTTCATTCTTAAAAAAAAAAAAATCCTATCCCTTTGTACAGTATGTACTGTTTAAAGTAATAATAAATCATATAATGGGACATTTTTGTGTATTCTATTTCCCCCTGGGGCTCTGGTCCACATGTCTGTAGTGGCACTACCCGGGAACATAATCTCCATTGTGTAATCCTGCGTGGGCAGACAAAGGTCATGCATGGTATCTGCTGAAATGGTTACAAATACATTGCGAACTGTACCCATTGCCATCTGTCTTTATCTGCAGTTAAAATAAAGGTAGAAACACGGTAGGGATCATGATTAATATGTTGCGGATTACAGAGATGAGGCATGTAGTGGGTAATGGCTGTCTCATGCCAATGATTCTATACACACTGCTTCTGAGGTAACCGTTTCATCCCAGCTATTTCGTGAACTATTTACAAGGTAGAAACCCACTGTAATAAATCCTATTAGAGGGCATCTGTCACTTCTAGGGAAGGGGGAGATATTAAGGCATAAATGCACCATCCCGAGCCCCTGGGAAAGTTGATTTCTGGTTCTGTGATAGCAGCACTACCAGCCGACAGGAGGTCCTTGGGCTGAGATGGCCCCCATAAATCTAGGCTATATAGTGAAGTTATGGGCGGGGGACTGTCTTAGCAGGACATCATGACCTTATAGTTACAGAAATTTTTAGGCTTGAAGGGGGATGCTTTGGAAAGGACATTAAGAGCGTTGGCTTGACACTTGCTGACACCATTTACTTTGTCCTAATGTATATTCTATCACTCTTCATAAATTAAAAATTGTTTTATCGAAGTATCAGATGCATCAATTATAATTTTTATTCAAGTGGGAAATAATTTAGCATTAATCTACTTTCACGCCATAATTTGATTATTTTTCAGCCTCTTCCTCGAGCATGCCCTTTTCTTTGGATGAAATTGTGTTAATGTGTAGATGCTTGAGAGACACATGTTTGGGGATCATTGAACTTGCCCATCCAGACTCTCGTGTCACCATCAGCAATGACTATAAACAGGTATATACTACCTCTATTAATAGAGACAATTATATGTTGTTAAAAGTATTGATTGCTCTCCAGCTCGTACTGGAGTTGTACAACCTGACGCCAAAAAAAATTTATACTCTTTAAAAAAATAAAAAATCACTTCTGCCACTGTACTATTTTGGGACTTTGAGAGGAAAAAATTGTTTGTGGGGTGTGTGTGTGTAAAGAAGCTTTTTGATAAAGTTGACTGGTCCTCTTTGAAATCAAATATTTGTGAACTATGATGAGAATTTACAAATTATGTACTATTTATTTATGATAGTTAAAATATTAATTTGTCTTATAATTTAGGCACTCCAGAAAACTGGAGCTATGGACACAAACCAAGAAGATGATGACAGAGATGGTACACAACAATGGGCATACCTTTTTAAGGTACTAGTTTAGTTATGTTTGAAAATCCTAGTTTTAATTATTTTATATCTCTAAAAGCCCTGTAAGAACATACTGGTGAACATCAATTAGAAGAAAATGTTTGAATGTTTTAAAAGAAATTGATAATCTGCATTTACAGCTATAAATGTTTTAAAACATAAATAAACGAGAAAGGTCACTTCATGTTTGAAGCAACAGATTTGTTTCATTATTAGTTATTTGAATTATCCAAATAATAAAATGTATAATTATTTTCAGGTTATATCTACATTAGTTCGACAGCTTCATAGCAGAGACAGTCGCCGTTCATTTTGTCCATCTGGTCATTGGTTAGCTCCAAATGTAAACATCCGCACAGATCGGGTAAATATTTGATCTCATTGTTCCTAGACAGAGCTTATCATTTTTATTTGTGTAAGAAAGCGGTGAATCTTACAAGTGTAATTGTACTCCCTGTTAAATTAGTTTCAACAGTATTTTGTATTATTAATTTAAGTAATCTGGAGTTACAATTATTGCTATAATAAGATATTTGTTTAAGTTTACTAAGTGAGAGAACTGAAGATTTAAGTTGTCATGGTTAACTAGAGAAAATGGAGCTTCAGCTTTTCTAATAGATTAAAAATGCACAAAAACAAGTCAAATACTTCAGTAGATTTTAAGGGAAAAAACTATTTTAGGAAAATAAACAAATTGACTCCCTTTCATGATATTTTTAAAATAAAAGTTAGGCAATGGATTATTTCACCAGCGTTCCACTGACATAAGATATTTTGTTTTGATTTTCTTCAAGCCATCCCAGATTTATTCATCTCAGAATGCCATCTTTACCAGAAGGGACTTTGGAACTCTCAGCTCATTAACCAAAGCAAATACTGGTACTGGTAAAAAATATTTCTTAAAAAGTAAATTGCAAAACCATTTGCAAAAATATTTTTCTAACGATATTATAATGAAGAAAAAGATAAAATCTAAATTTTTAAAAATAATATTAATTTAAAGAATATGAATTAACACTAAAAAAAAATTTTGTGTAAGGAAGATATTTTGGGATTCTCAATGATATTAAAACCCCAGGGCTCAATCTCAAGGTATATCATATTTTAAAATTGTTTGTTCCTGTTAGATACAGATGCTCCGCCTCTTGCCAACCGTGATGTTCGAAACCTTGTGATATTAACTGAATTGCCCTTTGTTGTGTCGTTTTTAGATAGAGTGAAGGTATGCTGCATAGTTAATTAGATTTGATTTTAGATAAACCTACGCTGTACAGTATAATAGATATGATTTGGATTAAAACATTTTAAATGCTTTTTCAGTAGTGAATATTGCTTGATACCCTTTTTAACATGACAAATTAAAAACAAAACAGCTAAATAATTAATTCTAGCAGATAAAAAATGTATTTAAATGAAATTAAATTATGGCGTGATTGGAAAGCTACATTTCAATCACCATGGTGAAAGAAATTATTGTTTTGTACACAGATACTACAAAACCTGATCATCGTGGACAAGAAGGAACACCAGGGAGAGTTGATCAGTTTTGGAATGGGACCTTCCATTAACATAAACATCAGGAGGAACTTTATCTATGAAGATGCTTATGAAAAGCTATCCCCAGAAAATGGTAAAACAAGTCAATATTAGTTTTACAGCATTGATGTGAAGGACACCTATTGAAATTAATGTGCCAGATGATTGCTAATTGGGGAACTATAGTTATGGTCATGCATTCCAATAATAATATTTGAATTTTCCCCAATCTAGTGACACATTATTTTTTTTATGGCAATAAAATTGATGAAAAACAAAATTTAAGGGAATTATTTGTTTAAAGTTAAAGATATAATAATTTGGAAGTGTACCAAAAAAATGAACAAAATTTTATATACAAATAGTTGGGAGCATTTTCAGTGAATTTACGAAAACAGTACAAAGAATGACAAATTGAAAACTTAAAAAAGAACTTATTTTATGTTGTGTTTGTGAGAAAACTGCCCAATAATCAAATAGTAGCCTACTCCCCCGGTACTAAAATAAATATTGAAAAAAGGATGTACTATGTGATTGAACGTAAATAATAATGGTGGCGGAGAAAAAGTTAACAAGTTTACGAAAACAAGTCAATCATGCAATGAAGTGTCAGTCCTGAAAGTGTGGAACAATTTATTCTCATACCCCACCATGGCTGGTGGCTTGGTGGAAGAAAAAATAACCGTTATAGACACTAGTTGTACCTTTGTGATCCCTTTTATTGATGCACGTTGCAAAGGTGTTGGGTGAATCTTATCTACTGCAAGTAGAGAAATAATGGCGTAATGCCATTGCTATTGTTAAATGAACAACCATCTTGTAAGAGAAATCAGCCCTCAGGGAAGTTAATCTAATGAATCTGGATGGCATAAGGCATAAGGGCTACGTCCATCGGGGTCTGTTCCTAAGTGGGATAGGGTTGCTGAGAGGTAGCTTTGAATAAGATCATGTAAATTTCTATCTTGTCTGAACATGAGGGATTGAGGTGAGAAAATGCTGTGTTCACCACAGGCAGGAATGAGAAAGGTATGCTTTTTTTACAAAAAAGTTCGGCATTTTTTTATTTCTATTTTAAATGGAGACTGGCATCTGAAATATATCTTTGAACTCTTAAAGAAAAAGGTCTATATCTTATTTTTATTTTTCCTAAACAGAACCAAACTTGAAGAGGAAGTTGAGAGTTAGCCTGCTTAACGTCGCAGGACTTGATGAAGCTGGTATTGATGGGGGTGGCATTTTTAGAGAATTTCTGTCAGAACTTCTCAAGACTGGATTTGATCCCAATCGAGGGTTTTTCAAATATACAGAGGACCGGGCTCTCTACCCCAACCCTGAAGCTGGTCTCCTTGTAGAGAACTTTACAGCACATTACTTCTTCTTAGGTCGGATGCTGGGCAAGGTAACTAATAGAGTGTTTATGGGAAAATTGAAAGCATGCTACTTATTGTTGAATAGTAAAATGAAATCAGATATTACTTTTCATTTTTTTTTACTTTTGATATTTAAGCTGTGCAAATTTAAAATTACATAGGAGATTCCGTGATGCTGGAGATGGCCCCATTCAATTTTGCTCTCACTTCCCTAAATCCATGAGATTGTTTCTTTAACTGCCACTGGTTTATATTTTATATTTTATGGCATTAACTTGGTCATGCATTCATTTTGATAATTTAAAAATGATAATGTAAAATTATTTCTAAGAAGATTTTTTTTTACAAATTAAACCATAATCAGATGTAAAAATCGTCATGACAACCTGCAAATTCAAAATCCTGTATCATTGCCAAAATAAAAAAAAATATTTATAAAAAAAGAAAAAAGACAATAGTTTTCTATCAATTTTTTTATCAGGTTTTCAATCAGTTCATGTCTTTGTGCATAAAAAGCAATCTTTTCCCTGTTATGTTATTTGTGAATTCTAGATTGTTTTTATAAATCACAAACAACTTGGGGTCTCTGATAGTTGTAAACTGTATATAGATGTGATTGTGTCACCAAAAACCCTGATTTTACTTTCATTTGCACTTTATTATCATTTTTCTCAAGATCTACCTCTATTATTGTGAATGTGAAGCAAGATTATCAAATTTTTTTTATTGTTGTACAGATTATTTAAATTGTTTCAGTTTTAATTTCTTTTTGAGGTTATGCTCAGGAATGTATAATTAACAGCTTTCCCCTGGACAGAGAAATAAAGAGAACATTAGCATGCAATTTTCCCAGGTGTTCACCCATTACATCGCATAGAAAACTGCTCTAAGTAAACAATAATTATGAATTAAAATAATAAGAAACATGCTTTTTAAGAAAATACTTTTACTGGAATTTAGGCTAATGATAGTGTTTTAAAATAATACATATTAAAAGAAGAATTGCAGACACTTTTTATCGTGTTAGATTTACGTGAAGGAGAATTTAATTTTAAAAAGGTTAAAATTTTTACTTTAAGGCTTTGTTGGAGAATTTGCTGGTGGAGATTCCCTTTGCTTCCTTCTTCCTATCAAAAATATTGAGCCCAGGAAATGCCAGTTTGGATATTCATCATTTACAGTCTATGGATCCTGTTATGTACAAGTGAGGATTCTTTAATGTTAATATCTACTCCTTTCTATTATTATTATTGCTGGCAGACCTTGTTTGAATAATAATTAACAAAATGAGACCCACAAATATGAGAACAATTAGTGTGGCTGTAAGGACCCTCCTGACTTTTCCGTTTGGGAAAGAAGTGAATATTTCAAACAGAGTGTCACTAAAATTAAAAAGTAGAACATTAACTACTGTTTTATTGAGAAAGAGTGTGTTATAGAGATATTTTAATACCCTGGGTAAATGCAATTTTCAAGAGTTCATAGACCAAGCTCTGTTAATATTACTGAAATACCTTGACTGAAATATATAAATCTGCCTGATATTCTTATATAAAGTGATCATGGGACTGGTGCCGGCCATCCCAGCAGGCACGTACCTCACCCCACAGAAGCCGGGTAGACTGATCAGAGCAAAATGCTCCCTGAACACTGACTTCACCACTGACATTCCCATAAACAATTACACCCGAAACAATAGCAAATGCTTCAAAGTGCCTCAGTGCAACACAGTGCAGTATCAACAATCTTTCTTCCCACGCACAATAATAGCATGGAACCACCTTAACGATGCCACTGTGAACTCGACATCGGTCGAAAGTTTCAAGGCTGCCCTGGCATCTGCTAGGAGCTTTTAGAATAGCAGACCTGTTTACTCTTACGAATTTGGCGTACAATGTACGATTTTGAGGTTATAAATTATATATACTACATGTTTATTTTTTACTATTAAGATAATGTATTGAACGATTTTGTGATGATATTGTACGATTTTAAGAGTTTGAGTGTAAACAGGTCTGGAATAACAACATCATACCCCCAACCGTTGCAAAGATGCCAGTACATGGATGCAGCAACGAACACTTCCAGAACCAGAAGAATAATTACCATTCACCACCATTTATTCATTTCAAATGCATAAATACATTGCAATTTTCAAGACATGGCAGTTGTATTGAGGCGTAGATTATTGAAGTATTGTTTTAATTTTTCAGAAATTTACTTTACCTTAAACACTACGATGGTGATGTCTCAGATCTGGGTCTTGACTTCACTGTGGTCAACAGTGAATTTGGTGAAACCAAGGTAAGCATTTTATGTGTGCCTAATTGTATTTCATTTATCAACTGCAGCACTGTATTGATTTCTATTGAGAAAGGTAAAATAAATTGGAATCTTTGAATTACCAGTCCTTAGTGCTCAGTTAGCTCTACAGAGCTAAACAGATTTTTAAAACGGTCTTTTAAGTTTAAGCTACCTTAAATTATTTTTGTGTGGCTTTGAAGTAATTTTTGGTTTTTCTTATCAATGCTATGTTGTAAACCAAGATAAATGATAATTTCAATAAAAATGTCCTACCATTAACTGACTCGTACTTAACATGCTAAAGGAAAACTTGCCTCCCTGTCTGTTTTAAAAATGCTTATGTTATTTTAAAAAAGGAAATAAAATACAAAACAAGTAATGTCGTCGTTTATTTAAATTTTTATTAAATAATGATATAAAAATGAACAAAATGCTATATTCACTATAAAAAAATAATGTTATTTAGAGAACAATCTTTTAATTATAATATCTGAAGTTGACTATCGTTGTATTTTCAAAAATTCACAACCTGTCACCCTAACACGCTAGTTTTTATTATCTGCACTAGTATTATTATCTGCCGATGTGCAACAGTTTGGAAAACCGTACCGAACTGAACTCTGGTAAATTTTTAACAAAGAAAAATAAAAACATACATATTTCTATTTTAAAGCTTCTCTTGTGAGTGCAGTGGTTAATTTTAGCTGACGAAGGTATGGTAATTAAGTTGGTAAGCGCCCCTAAAGAGCGTGGTATGTGACTATAAGCCTGTCTTGCCTTCCCCTGGTGTAGAGGACTGGCGCCGGTGGGAATTTGTGAGGCGACAGCAGGCGCTAAAGGCAGTAGAGGGTTGATGAATCTGAAGTGTAAATATTAAAATCCATTCACATCACAATTCGATGTCCATCACAACCTAATTCTTGCCCTTGCTAAAACCTAGCTTAAAGAAACTGCTCTAAGCAAGGCATGAAGGTGCACCATCTAAATCATTTTTGCTATAATCTTCATGGTAGTGCACCGTATGGAGAGAAAAAGTTAAAAACCACCTATGTTTAATTATTTACAAGCAAAAAGCTTTTTAAATTCGCTCAAGTTTATTTGAGAAATAAAGTAAATGATATTACAGGCGCTTTCTGTTTTTAAAAAATCTAAATTTGTCTGATCAGGTTGAAGAGCTGAAGCCCGGAGGTCGAAGCATTCAAGTTACAGATGCCAACAAAATTGAATACATACATCTGATGGCAGATTATAGAATAAATAAACAGGTGAGAGTTTATGGAAAAAACAACTCAATTGTAGGTCATAGAAGTTGGTTACGTTAAAACTAAATAACAACAAAGATTGAAATTTAAAAACAAATCAGTTACTGTCATGATCGACTGGGAAGTTATCCATTTTGTGGCTAGAAGCCGATCAAGGCATCAAGCGGGGCTCTGCAATAAGATACTGGTGTATAAAAATATAAGACAATATCCAAGCCAATTTCATTATTTGAAACCCAAATCTTAAATAGGTCTTAGGTCAGTCTTTAATGCATTGATAAGATTCTTATAGTCTTTTAAAATGATTGAGATTATTTGTTTCTGTGGCGTGACTCTTAACTTTTAACTAAAAGGATGTCTATCAAGCTGAATGGTGGATCTTTATTTGATGGAATTAAAACTTAAAAAACTGTAAGCATTTAAAAAATGAATATAGTGAAGATGTTATCTAACACTCAAACAATCTTGAGTTTATTGTGCAGAATTTATTAGAGTTGTGATTGTCTAGAACTGGTTGTAATAAACTTGACTGGGCCCAATTTTACGGATACTAATGGACAGGTCTTTATAACTTATGATTGGTTATACTATAAATAATATACTTGTTCATAGGTCACACTTTTTTACCAAAAATTTTGATAAATATCGAGTGCGACCACCTCACTCAACATCAATTTCACTTACTGTTTTTCAATGTGGAGTAGTCATATATTAATGAAAATTCTGAGAATTGTGTTCTACCTTGCTCTCACTTTGGCTAAAGCAAAAGGCAATCTGTTGAAAAAAAAATGTTTCTTAACCCACAAACTGTCAAAGTCAAGCTTGCTGTGGTGTCAACTCTTTTAGTAGCTTTCATATGTATCACTAAAATATCAAAAACGAATAGAAAATGAATCCAGAGACCTATATAAGTATAGATATCCTGAGAGTAAAGTGGACAAGGAATGAATCACATGGTATGAATTCTGTGAGCTGTGTGAAATGAATATGACCTTGACCTTTCCACAGTAAATACAATTGTGGTACTGTTTATCTTTTTTCAACTTACACCCACATAGACTGTTGGGTCCTGTTCAGCATCTATATAAATATAAGTTTTTCCAGACAAATCAAACGTTATTCTTTCAGTTTAGAAAATATAAAGTTATTTACCTTTATAGAAATTTTTAAAAGATTATTCTTGACCTACATATTTCTTTATATACTGCCTATTAAGCTCATTAGTACCCTATTTTCCACTCCTTCCACCAATAGTACTTGATTAGCCTTTACACGAGTATATACGAAGTTATTTTATAAATTATTCTCATTTTCAGATACGTCCCCATTGTAATGCCTTTAGGCGCGGCATGAACGATGTCATACAACTTGAGTGGCTGCAGATGTTCAACAGTGGTGAACTACAGGTCCTTATTTCTGGTGCAGCTGTCCCAATAGACCTTGTGGACATGCGACAACACACCAAGTACTCGGGTAAGAGTTGAAGGCCTGGCTCTTTATTGTACTGAAACATTAACAATTTTTGTTATGATTCATTCGTTTTTTTTACAGCTTGATTTTGTCAGTAGACTTTCCTTTTTCCAGGATTTGTTAAACCTCAAAAAGGATCAAGAGATTGAAAACAAAGTATTTATAAACATAGTTAAGAATAATTTCACTGTCCTCAAATGTATAGTTAATATTGTTCTTGATCTGTAATATTCAGGCATCAACAGAGCACTTATTATAATAAGAGAGATATAGGACTTAACATTATTTAACTCCCTCTTTGTTTTTAACATGCATAAAAGCTGGGCCCTGGGTAGGCATTTTTAAAACTTGTCCAACAGAATCCTTTTAAAGTTCATTGGGGGGGGGGGGGGGGGGGGGGGGAATGTTTGCGGCATTCTACAGTTACAATGAGTCTCAGAATAATAAAATGTCTTCCTTTTCTAATCTAACAATACCTGATTAAATTTTTTACCCTGTTTTGTCAAAACCAGTAACTTATGAAGTTATTAAATGATGATTTTTCTCAACAGGTGAATATACAGATGATCACCCTGTTATTCAAACTTTTTGGTCTGTTGTCAACGAATTTACTGATAAGCAAAAAAGACAACTGCTCAAATTTGTCACCAGTTGCTCTCGGCCACCTCTACTTGGCTTCAGGGTAAGTCAATAGATCACATCAGTTGTCAGATATCAACCACATCAGTTGTCAGATATCAACCACATCAGTTGTCAGATATCAACAACAGGAAGTGATTAAAATTATTGAATTCAAATCTGGAGGTCTTTAACATGACTACTTTCCATAACTACTTTGTGAAAGCGCTAAGCATGAATGAAATCCACATTCAGAAAAACAATACATGCCTTAATGTTGTTATAGTAGTTTAAAATTTTTCAGAAAATCTAGGATGAAATCTAGGCAGCCAGATTTATTAATGACTCTTTTAATTACATGTTTTAAGATTTTTAAATTATTTGATTAGAGATATTCTATCTGTATACACCTTGAAAATCCATTCACACATGTGACTTTGTTATGCAAAGAAAGCAAGATCGGCAAGTAACTTCCTGAATTGTGGGTCATTTTGCTGTTCAGTCTTGGTTGGTTTGATGTGACAATGATACCTGCAAATTTAAGTGCAGATCTCCTCCCAAATAGTGCGACCCACTTGATTAAAACCCCTCCCAAGTAATGTAATAAAATATATTCTGATTAGACCTTACCTCAGTATGACAGACAATATTAAACCACTCCCTAGTAATATGCTGGTAGCAGGTAAAAGAAAAATCAACTCTAGAAAGAAGTCACTTATTTACTTTCAACTGTCAATAATTTGTTTGTTTGTCTACCCAGGATCTCTATCCAGCCTTCTGCATTCACAGTGCAGGCGCTGAAATTGACAGACTTCCCACTGCCAGCACATGCATGAACCTCCTCAAATTACCTGCTTTTCAAGACTCCAACACCATGAAAACTAAATTGCTCTATGCTATAGAATCTGGATCAGGCTTTGAGCTCAGTTGACCTGTGAGACTCTGTTTTGTTACACAGCTGAGATCAAAAATAGATGACAGAACTATTTTATTATGCAGCTGATATACAAAAAATTGATGATAAATCTTCTTAATTACATTAAAAACCTATCAAATCAATTTGATATTTTTTCATTGTCAAAAAAAAAAAAAATAAGTGACACAGGAGATGGTCTATTGATAGCATTAAATATATTACAGTGTCCAGGGCATAAAATAAAAACTGCACTTCTAATTTGCAACTGAAATACTTTTTACCTTGTGTTTTTCTTTGTTTTAAAATTTGGCAACATTCTTTGGTCTGATTTTTACACAAATAGATGGAGTAATCTTAATGTATCCAACCATCAGTTTTCAACTGATTGAAACAAATTTAGATCAAAATGGAAGGCTTTTTTTTTTCCAACAGTTCTTCAGGGTTTGGAGATAATGAATGACATATTTCCAGAAATAAATTCCTTAATTGATCATTCATTTGTTAAATCTGTTTGACTGGAATAATTTTCAAAATATAATTTTAAAAACCTAATAATTATTGATGCTTCTTTCTTTGATGTTTGAGCATTTTTTAAAGGGTTTACTCCACACAAGAGTTGTCCTGCTGGACTGATGATTCCATTCCACCTGGCTATCATGGATGGGTCAAACCCATTATATACAGGTTGTGAAGGAGATGCTATACTGGTGCACCTATAAAATGATACAAGTACTAGATGTTTGAACATGTGATAAAAAAAACTAACTTTATAGTTTATAGCAGTAACAGCTGAACATATTCCCTACAATTTCTAAAAAGAAATTTCATCAGTGATTAAATTATAACTACCGTTACATAGGATATATATCACAGTAGTAACTGGGAATACACAATTTTAAATGACATACATGTAGAATGAGTTGTAAAACTGTATGGATTATATGAAGATAAAATTAAATAACGTTATTATTCATTTATTTATTTATTTATATATTTTTTTTACCTATTAATGGGTTATTCTTTCAATACCCCATGTTCAAATTACGTCTGACAGTTTTCTTGATGAGCTGGCCACAATGAGCATCTTGGTAAACTACGTCATATGTTTTATTAAAAAAATAGACATTGTTTGATTGATTACAGGTATTTTTGCTATTTAAATGATACTACTGCAGCCTCATATTTTGAATGAAATACCAGTACTTGTTTTTCTATCCTTAAATATGCACATTTTAAAAAGATAATTTACTATGCTGGAATTGATATCTAATTTTTGTGTATCCTAAATTGTAACATAACTATCACACTGCTACATTGGATGCTCAGTGGTCTGTTATAAAAAATGAAGTGCAGTTTAGCAAATGGGTTGGGTTGGGGGGGGGGGGGGTATTTGTTATGAATGATATATAATTTTGTATGATAATTAACTGAAATTATTATTTAAGTAATGTGTTTAACAAATGGTTACTAAAGTTTGTCATAAAAATATGTTGACTCTTTACCTATTGCATGCCAATAAATCATCTTTTGAAACATTGTATTTTCCTTTTATACAGATGGCAGATAGACTTTGCAAAATTAAATCTGTATTTGCTCCTTTTAGATCAATTCTTTTTTTTTTCCGTTTGATGATTTATATAAAAATTCTTTAATGGAAACAAAATTGGGGGAAGCAAGCTTCCATTCTTTATCTGATAAATTAAACTATTTGTACGTAAGATAAGTGTTTTATTGGGGATGTGGAGTTATTGAAAAATACTTCCCTTCCATGACTGTGATTGAAATAATACTTGAAACTTTGTGTTGTTTTATACTAGGTAGTTCTACCCAGCTTTAAGTTTTTTCAAATGACAACAAAATAAAAGCTTTTGGATTATTAGTTTTAAAGAAATGTATGTTGTTGTTTTTTTGTCATCTTAACTTTTTTTTTCACTGTCTGCAAGTTAAGTCAGCCCAAATTCAGTCAAAAACGTCAGAATAAAAAGAGTTTAAGCAGGAGCTCCTCTAGTTTATCAACAAAACATGTTAAATGAGGATATACCCAAGTTTCAGATCTGAAATGTTTTGTTATTTGGCTGTAAAGTGTCTCCATTTATGAAAATCTAAATATGACCACCTTTTAAGAAATTAAATTTGAAAAAATAAAATAAAATTGCCAAGCTGTTTGTGGAGTGTTTTGTATGTTGTGTGAATTTGTATAGTATGGCAATGGTATCATAGAGAAAAAAATTTTGTGAAAATTCTCATAGCTGTTGGTTACATGATATATATGATACATATATTGTCACAAATTACTGGGGCGGGGGTTAACAACAGAGCCCCATTGTTCTTCAGATAAGTTATGGGGTGGACGGAAATTGCTGTGATTTTGGGGAGGGAGTTGATAGATTCTCGCGTCTTTTAGATTAGGGGGATGTTTCTTTGCAAAATATTAAGTCTCGGGCCTTCCAGACTACGGGTGATAACTTTGGTGTGGACGACGGAAGTTCCTAATTGACCGGAAATGAGGGGGGGGGGGTATGGATGGGTTAACTGCCAGCATTCCTGGACCACCTAGAGAGGTAGAGAATGGTATATAACATATGACTTTCCGTGACATAAGGAGAGGGAGAGATTCGTGGACGGTGGTTCTGTTGTAACAGACGTAGTATTACTAGCTGTGGTTAGAGATAGAATTAGGGATAGATAGCGAAGTGTTAACAGTTCGAAAAGAGACATTACAATCGTATATAGTGATCAATACGTCTTTTACTTATAACTGTTAATGAGGAGTTGTTTAGTCATTCATTCGTGTTCTGTGTTCTCTTCGTTGTACTTCTCAACGCCTGGATTAGTTAACCATCACAGAGAGGAACGGCCCCGTACTATTCACAACACCACCAAAACCACGTGGTACATGACCATAAGTACGGGCCATACCTCATCATACCATCCCATCTGTGACATATATAAACCTTTCAAAGAAATGATGGGTTCCTTGCTTTCGCAATCCCTGAAAAGTCGTATCCGAAAATTTGTTTGCAAGAAATTTCGTCGAAGGAAATTTGGTGAAATCTTTTTTTCAGTTCACACGTTAAAATTTTGCGTCAAACGTCTTTTTGAGCGCATTTTTTTGTTTGACTCAATAGTACTGTGCCTTTAAAAAGAAATTGGACGAACATTTTAACGTGTGAACTGTAAAAAAAAAAAAAAAAAAAATTCCAAAAAAATTCCCCCCCGAACATTTTAACGTGTGAACTGTAAAAAAAAAAAAAAAGATTCGAACAAATTTCCGTTCGATCAAATTTCTGTCGATCAATTTTCCGTCGACGAAATTTTTTTCAAACAAATCTCCGGTAACCCTGAACAATACCCCTTTAAGCATGCCTCTACTCAATTACAAAGTCCGCACCCCCCCCTCCCCCTTTTTCAGCTCAAAAATCTCCCATCTAAAATTCACACTCTTTAAGATCTAGCCCATAACCCCCTGTCTCAGAATAGTCTAAATATCAATTCATTTTTCACCCAAGCAGCCAATTCCACCTTCTTTGCTACTACTACACTGATCTTAACTTAATAGCCACTTAATTTGTACTATACAGTACAACACATTTTAATTATTAATATTTGAATTAGTCAGTCTCTTCAATATTTATTTTTTAAAGAGCACAAAATTATGACACAAAGGCATTCTAATGTTTAATAATTTTTTTAAAGCAAACAAACATGTACATTGGGGAGTTGTGGCTTTCTTACAGGAGCGCCTGGAAATATCTCACAATTTTCTGTGTTGCGTTTCCACTTTCAATTGATTGTGACAGGCACAGTGGCGTAGCGAGGGTGTTTGGCGCCCGGGGACAAGATCCATTTTAGCACCCCTTTTTCTTTTTTTCAACTCTCAAACCCATTATTTTCATCAATAAAATAATATCAAAGCACATTTTGGCGCCCCTAACTAGCTGGCGCCCGGGGACATCTGTCCCCCCTGCCCCCACCACGCTACGCCTCTGGACCACGTAAATATATATATATATATTGGAAGGCTCCAAGCAATCGGGGGTCCTCACGTCGCAGCAACCCTTCAAACAAGTGAATGCTGACCATACGCCAGGTTAAAAATAGTCCAAACGTGTCCAGAGATTACCCTCCTAACATTGATTATTATGAAATTCAACAGGTTTTTTTTTTGTTTTTTTTTAATCATGAATGTGGCCAAGTGATCAAATAATGCACTGCGGCTCTGAAAGTCTTCCTCAACAATTATCACAACTCTTAGCAAATTTTTTTTTCGGCTATCCAAAGTGCCAGTTGTTTAATACTCCTTTTTACAAATACATTTGTTAGTGCAACCAGAAACATAAAAACAAATGTGTTTAAATGAGGATACAAAAACAACAAAACTTGTTTTCATAGATACATTTTTTTCTAAATTCTTTATATTAACTTCGCTTTTGTTTGTGGCTGACTGACTGGATGGGTGGAAAAAATCTTCGGACGGCTAATCGGCCTACTTCTCGTCAAGCTATCGTGCTGAATATAGACACATAGACTCGTCGCCGGAGACAACACATTCTGTCAAATTTTCAGCCCTACCCACTAACCCCCAAAAATGAGTCTTAAAAAGATCGCAAGTGCGTTTGGTGCGTAATATTTTATTTCATTTTTTTTTCTTCTTTTAAAGCGAGTGGGTCATTTGAATATACATAAATTTCAGGGGCGTGATAGGAAGAGCGCTAATGGAGATTCTTATAAAATGCGTTAATTGTATGCATGTTGTGTCAAATTTTCAGCCCCCACCCCCATTGCTTGATATTACATTGTATAAAGGATTTATACGAATTGTTTTTAAGGGTTTTTTCTTATATGATTTGATGATCACTCTGTTCTCTCGCCGAGTTCTACTGTTCTCATTGAGGTGACGCCTGGCACCATTTCAAGCTCATCGGTCACACTTAAAAGTTTCATCTTGCTGACGTCGCCCTTTAGTTGTCAGCGGCCAGCGAAACCTCTGTCCCGTCACAGCCCCCCCCCCCTATCAAAGATATTTGATCCCGGTTGTTTTGGTTCACTTTTAACAAAAACAAGTCAATGATCGTGCGTTGGGGCAGCCGGTGACACCCCCCCAGAAAGTTTTCTGCAGGCGCCCATGGTGACAGGGGTTAGGGGGTCATCTGGCCACTCGTTGCAAACCAGTAACTCACCTGAGTTATCACTGTCGAGCCTTGTACTTCTACAAATTGTTACCACATGGCGCTTAGTGACATAAAATATGTACGTGTTTTATTTATCTTTACCCAAACCTTTAATTTAAAAAACAATCAATATTATCATCGAAGTGTGCTTGTTAGAATTTGACATAAAGTGCCTGGGAAAAACCTCAATTTGGCAAGGACGCCGAGAAATATTTTAGAAACCCTTGCTACTCCGTTGTGATAATTATTGCGGAATTTGTGCTTAAAATTAAAATATGTATGATATCGGTCAGGCCTGCACAACAGACGGACCGCCAGCACACACTTTGCGGCCGGCGAAGTAAAATAATATTCTTTATTCTTATTATTTTCTTAATAGCTCTCCCCCACCCCCCTTTCCTATTTTCTTTTGGCCCGCACAAGTCCTGTCCCATTTTCTATGGGCCCGCACAGGTTTTTCATAAAGTATTACGGCCCACCTTACATTTTGAGTTGTGCAAGCCTGACATATGTACATGTCTTCTGTCGAGACACCCCTTGCCCTAGTCCTAGTAAGCAAAATCTTCTAAATCAACACCCCCCCCCATGGGCGCCCGCAGAAAACTTTCTAGGGGGGGGGGCAAAAAAATCGATTAACTTTCCAGGGGGGGGGCACATTTTTTAGGTAATGTTTAAATATAGTTTTAATTTACCGTAGCGTATTTGTATGGTGAACGAACGGACAGGACATCAGCTTAGTTACTTTCTCTTTATTTTCTCTTTACTTTAATATATTTTTTGTCTATTTTTGTCTAAAATTTTTCTATCCAATCAATCCAGGGGGGGGGGGGGACGGGGCACTGTGCCCCCCTTGCCCCTCCCTGCGGGCCCATGCCCCCCCCCCCCCCAGTGCATAGTAATTGGCCTCCGCCCCCATACAATCTGTCACCTGTCCGTTGATTTGATGCCGTTACTAAATTCAGTGTAAATCAAGTCGAAGTAAATGTAAACACATTGGCACTGGTAGGTTGTTTTGGACTTTGGGTTAGAGATAGGAGGTCCCGAGCTTGTAAAAAAAATGTTCGATTCCCATGTCTCCTTTGGGTAGAGTTTTCTGGGTCTTAGCTAAATACGAAACCGAAAGTGCACCATGTTTCCGGCGTAGTGTCCTTATAATAGTTACTGTGGTCACTTTGCAATGAATGCTTAACAACACAGCTAACATAACATGGAGTTTAATCTAGATTAATCAATTTAGACTTCAGACATATTTAATATTGTAATATTGTCAGCTGTTGATCGAAATGATCGTGATATTGCTTGTTTAAAGATTAAATTTAATTTAATATGCCTACTTATATTTATACTTAGTTAAGTCTTGACTTCAGTTAAGTTACACTTTATGAATGACTAATACTAATACTAATACTAATACTAACACTACACGGCTTTAAGTCTGTCTTAAGACTTAATTTAAATACTTTTAAAACTTTTATACTAGTACTAGTAATAACTTAGAAGTAGACTAAGTAGTACTAGTAAATAATAAGTCATACAACTTAATAACTTATGCTAATTATACGTAAAGTAATAGTAATAGTTATAGTAAAAGTAATGTCATTCATTAATGTAAATGAATGATATAATATAATTTTATATGAGGTATGCCAAGGCTATAAACATCTTAATGCTGTATCTAACTTTATAGTTAAGTTAATATATTATATCATAGTCCATATACATATAAAAATAATATATAACATGACATATGCTAGAATACCTCTAACTCTAATACAAAAAATATCTACCATGGATGCTGCGACTACTCAGTTATATTATTTAGCCTAAATTTTATGCCTATACTATAGTGCCTGAGGCTATACTATAATAATTTATAGTAGACTGACAGACTCTCCAAGCAGTGAAAAATTTAGGCACCACCCTCTCACACCCACAGTCATGATTATAAATAGAAGATGAGATCATCAAAAGAATTTCCAAAGCAAATATTGCATGAGTGTCTGACTGCAAGCAAAGGGTCTCTGTCTTGTCACTAAGCTGAAGGCATATAGGGAAATCATATTAGAAACTCCTACTATGTGCCAGTGAGACGTGGAAATTCTACCGCAGACATGCTAGACAATAAAACCATCTCCACCTTTCCTATTTACAGAAACTTTTTGGTATAAGGTCCAGAAGTCCTGCAAAAGGCTGGCTGTATCTGCATCATATGTTCTTACAAAAGTCTAAAAGGACAAGCCGGATGGGCAAGGTATATTTTGAGGATGTCTAACAACAGACCGCCTCAACAACTAATGTACTGTGAACTTTGCAGAGAGAAAAGTTCAGCTAGTGGGCAGAAAAAATACTTAAAATTTTGTCTAAAAGATTCCCTCAAATGCATGGAGAGAGGCCCAAATTCATGGGAAACTCTTGTTAGGGATTGCCCAAGCTGGTGAGGAAGACTCACTGTGGAGCACAATATTCAGAGTATAAATGCACTGCTTCACCCAAAGAAAGCACACAGCAAGGAAAAGCAGAATCACCTCCAGTCCTTCAACTTCAAGGACTCCAAAACATGCGTGTCTTACATGTGGGAAAACTTTCCAGGCACAACTTGGACTGGCAAGCCACCTGCGTACTCACTGTCAAATATAACTTAGTCATCTTTGCTTGAAGGATGAAAACACAACTATTTTTAGTTGGCCTATTTTAGTTCTTAATGAATTAAAATATTTTAAGTTAAAATTTAACTTACTTCAAATAGTTCTTAATTAAGTAGCTTGTTCAACAAACAAGTGATAAAATATTACTAATTGGATCATCATTAAAAAAAAAAATGACGAACAGATGTTTACACATTTACAAGCAACAAAAACATGCACTGATCCCTAGTTTTCACAGATACACTCAGTTTAAAATTATTTATTTGGATATGATAATGTGATTAAAGTAAAATTAACATTATGAATTGTACGTAAATCTTTGAATTTAATATGAAATACTTATTACATATTTGTAAAAATATTTGTTATGGATTAATTTGAGCAAAATATTTATTATCTTTAGGTTCATTATTTTGTGCTACACTACCAATACAAAATAATAGTTCAGTTCTTACAAGTTTAGTTTACTTCTAAAATTACTCCCATTCCCTCTGCCGCATATTCTCTTACACTCTCCTAAAAGCAAAATAATGCCCCCCCCCCCCATAAATAAACGATGGGGCATAAAAATGGCTATGGGAATTATTAATTGACAAGCAACTGCAACAACATCAGTAACTTCACTCTTATCTCGTCAGTACAATTGAATTGATTTTCTTTCAGTTACAGTTATTTTTTCATACAATAACTGAGGCTTAAACAAAATTACACTGTGCTGAGCACACGTGACTGGTAGATTTTGCAGTTTTGTTATCTCTTTAAGGTTAGAGTTACTCCAGACCCTGTTTCACCTCTCTATGAGTGGAGATAGAGAGCAGGAGATGTTTGACCCATTTAAATTTAAGGAATGAAAAACTTGCGTCCACTTGATTACAGTTATGGGAGGTGACTCTGCTTCTGGCAGACATCGTTAGACTAATGGTCAGTCTAAACTAAATGCAGGCAACTAAAAAAATGATGTATTCTATTTTCCATGTGTGGCTTCAAGGCTAAATCTTTGGTGAGGAGCAGTTAATAGATGAGAACCTATAAGATTTGATCTGGTCAAAGAAGGGAATGATGTTGAACAGCTTGCAGTACACTACCTAATTGCAGTCCTTTAAATCCTACTGGAGGAAAATGGTGAAGAAGATGGCAAAGATCGTGGTTGCAATACTGCAGCCTTATTGTTCTCTGTTACTGATTTGACATTCTCTCATTATCAAGGATATTGTAATCTATATGTGGCTAATCCAATTGTCGCTGACCAACTAACATGCCTCAGTTTGATAAAATCCTTATAGAGAGGCTTCTTCTGTTCATGAGACTTTACTTCTGGACTTGTTTCAAATTATAAATGTAATGAATAAGAAAAGAAGGGGTAAAATTATTTTCTTTAGGGTGTTTCCATTGGAAAAAAACTTGTAAACCACTACTCTAGACTCTGTATTATAGTCCACAAATTTTATGGTTGGACAACATTTTTAACATTCATAAGCCTAAATTTTATCTTGTAATTTTATTGATTCTTGCTTTAAAAAAAACAAAAAAACAAGCAAACTTATTCAACTTTAAATGCTTTTTATGTTCTCTTATATTAACAAGTTTTTATTATTTATTTCAGAAGTAATCCATAAAAGTTTTTTTTTTAATGCTGAAAACACACTGAAAACAATAAATGTCTCGGTCGTACTTACAGTTGTGTTTGAGGCAAACAAAACATTTGATCACACAGTGTCAGAGAGAAACATTACCTATGTCCATGCAGTTAAATTGTAGAAATTATTTCAAGGCAAACAGTGCATTGATCAAACCCTTTTTAAAAAATAACATCATCACTACAACATTTCGTTGGTGTCCAAAACAGAATTTTCATACAAGTAGCAGACACCTTATTCATCCTTTGATATGGGTCATTATAAAACCTTTGGCAAAGTTTGGAGCTGCTATTACTGGAAGGCAAGTTAAATAATCATAAGTTATCAGTGATTATATAGAAAAAGGGTTTATATTAAAATTTTGATATTTGAAGTCTTAGATTTTCTTAGGCTAAAACTTTCCCCTTAAAATAATATTGTTGATCCTATGTGATAACTTATTCTGGTTCAATTTGAGCTAAAACTAAAAAAACTCATTTGTAAATTAATATAAAATTTAATAAATGTGCCATAGTTAGAACAATGGATGTTCAGTTAAAATGTATATTTTATGCATAGCAGTTACTGAAAAAGAAGAGAGATGGTAATATAATGTGATGTACATTATTAATATACTTATTGTTTCACAAAATTATAAAAACTAGACATTCATTTGAGACTAACTTGTTTGTTGTATGTATAATTAGAACTATAAGGGTCTGGTTCAAGCGTTTGGCTCCAGAGGAAAGAAGGAAAGTTTGGTTAAAGCTAAGGCAGTTTTGGTATATACCTGCTGGCTGCAGTGTGGCTTTGGCAGGGACCTGCAGTTACTACTACTACAGTCATTTAGAGGAGACACCAATAACAGGGAGATGGAGATTTATTGTTTTCACACATGAACAAATCATCAAAATAGCAGAAGCTGAAGCTGAAATGGTAGGACATTAAAAGCCAATTCTGGATAAGGCTACCAACATATTTTATATCTTTATCTTGAAGTTGAAGGCTTCTTAAAACAACAGTTGTGTAACATTTTATATCAAAAACTTACTAAACACTTCATTGAAAACTAAATATTTTTTTTTTACAGCTCATAGAAAAGTTTTCAGGTAATTTTTATAACCCAACTGATCTGCCTTATCAGCGTGTTGCACAGGTGGCACTGAAATTACTCTCAGCTAATCCAGAATTAAAACAAATGCCATTTGACAGTTGGAAAATATTTGTGGTGAAAGATCCCCTTGTCAATGCTTGTGTTTTACCAGTGAGTAGCAGTTTCTTTAAACACTTTTTTAGATAATTTAAATAATGATAAAACATATATTAAAGTTTTTATGGCGAATTTACAAAATGTCCTATTTGCCAGCTGTGGCTTAGCTAGGGTAAGTGCCACCCAGGGTGGGGCCAAGCTTTTTGCCGTCTCCCTCCACTAAAAAAACTCTTCAGTTTGCTGACTCTAAACATAAATTTTAAAAAGTGCCACCAGGGACAGACGACACTCTTCACAACCTTCTTCCTATACAACTGCTTGCAAGCTTCTTTTTGTGAGTGGAAATTATATTGGGAACCTATGGAAAAAAGCCAAATCAAGGCTTCAATTTTAAGGGTTGATTTTAGACTCTTAAATGAATTTTTGACCTGATAATCCAATGTGATTAATAATATAGTCCACTTCTGCATCAAAAGAAATAATTATATTGTAAAAAAATAAAATATTTAAAATTTCACTCAAATTGAAAACTGACCATTTAAGTTAATTTTGTTTTTGTGTGGTCGCAAAACACGTTTCAAAATTATTAGCAATAAAAATAAATAATGATCAATTTATAATGTAAACGTGTTGGAAAATTTAATTCATCTTGACTTTTTAACGTCATAGGATTTTCTTAATCAAAATTGTGTGCAACTGTGATGACAATTTATAACATTTAAAATTTTACCCAAAACTTTCTTCTAATTATTTTTTTCAGAATGGTAACATCTTTGTGTTTGATGGTATTCTTAACATGGCTAACACACAAGATCAGCTTGCTGTTATTTTAGGACATGAGATGGCCCACTCTGTGCTAGGCCATGGGGTAAGATGCTCTGAAATGGGTTTGAGATGGCCCACTCTGTGCTAGGCCACGGAGTAAGATGTTCTGAAATGGGTTTGAGATGGCCCACTCTGTGCTAGGCCACGGAGTAAGATGCTCTGAAATGGGTTTGAGATGCCCCACTCTGTGCTAGGCCATGGAGTAAGATGTTCTGAAATGGGTTTGAGATGACCCACTCTGTGCTAGGCCACGGAGTAAGATGTTCTGAAATGGGTTTGAGATGGCCCACTCTATGCTAGGCCATGGAGTAAGATGCTCTAAAATGGGTTCTAGGAAAATTCACAGAAGTAATATGACTCATACTACTTCAATTCAAGGGGGAGCAAAAGTTGCTATCTTTATTTATTGCTGCATACATATTTAATAAGGTTTAAATATTAAATAATAAAAAAATCTAAATAAAAATTGATTTCTAACATAAAGTTGATTCCAATCTTTAAATTAAAAAAACAGGTAGAGGAGCTGAGTTATGGTAATATTGTGGATGTTTTTGTTATAATTTGCCTGGCTGCCTTGTGGCTGATTATCCCATTTGATGGTGTTGCCATTGTGACACATTGGTTCTACAACAAGGTTGTCAAGGTAAGGCTGTCAATCTCTAGCTTAAATGTGTAATTTCTTTCAGCTGTCATTTATCAATAGCTGGATTGTTGATATCATTATTCAGCATAACACTGTAAAAATCATTGGTTAATAAACACATCCTTTTAATGTAGCCGTGAAAAAGGTCAAGTTAAAAGCGTTGCTTGTCAGAGTTGAAACATTGAATGAAGGATCTTTAATCTTAAATCAAATAGTAAGAACATGGTCATCATGTTTTCACATTTCTATTTTTGTGATACAACATCGTCAATGAAATTTTCTAAAGGCTTATAAATTCTCACAATAAAATCAATTCTCCCTAAGTGTCCCTAAGTAAATTTCTGTCTTGAAAATCATTGATTTAGCCTCTTGTAAATTTAGAGCTTTTGTTTCCACTATTTGTTACAAGTAACTTTCAGACAAGCTGGAAACCTGTGTGTTGTCATTTTTTCACCAGAAGTTCGAAGAAAAAGGGAAATTATAAAATGTAATCTTTCAGTTCAGTTCATTTAAGGAAATAACATAGCCATTATTACACATAATTTTGTAAGAATGTAAGAAAACCAGATTTGCAAAAAGACTTAATTTTACTTAGTAGCACAATAAACTACACATTTAATTGTTAACAATTTATTGTCTTTTTAAATATTTTAATTTTGTCTACTAAACTCAAATTTTCAGTTGTTAACTCACATGCCACACAGTAGACAGATGGAGAGGGAAGCTGACAAAGTTGGGCTGAAATTTGCCGCCAAGGTAGGTTATGGACAATTTATTTGAGACATAGTGCTTATCTTCTCAAGCAACTCCTTAGGTGTTTAAATCAAATGTGTCTAAAAAGTATTGATGTTCTTTCATCAGATTATACATTTTCTTTATAATACTAATATTAAAATTATTAAAAGATTTTAATACTGGTATTAAAAAAAAAGAAATCTACAAATTACGAGCTTATTATGTTATTATGGAGTATGAATCTCATGTTCTTCTTCACTTGATTAACGTGTTCTCCATTCCCTCCTTCTTACGACCAATCGTAGTGGACTTACTTTTCCTCTCTTCTGTCCCTTTTGCTTGTATTAACTCTCTCACCTACTTATGTTTTATCACATTTCTTTGCCATCCTCTTTGAAACCACATTACAGTTAAGTATTTATTTTTATTTTGTTTTTACTGATGTTTGTTTGCTGAAGGTGGCTTCTTGTGGACACTTTCGTTGTTTTGTTGCCACCTTTTTCAGGTTTTCACTTACTTTGTTTCACTTATTTCCTGCTACTTAAGTTCATTGCGGTCTCCCCCTTGATACCATGTTTCATAGGAATTTCTGTGGATGGTTTCATGACAATGGTTTATACTTTTATTGACTATTTACTTTAGGCATGTTATGACATTAGAGAAGGATCTGTTCTGTGGCAGAAAATGTCCTATCATGAGAAGTTAAATGCTGGGAATCAAGAAGTCCTTCCAGAATTTATGTTAACCCATCCAGATAGTATGAAGAGGGCCGAACACATTGACTTTATGTTACCTGAGGTAAGATTCTCTTAGACCACTGTCAATTTTTGGGAAGGTTATATGGAATAATGTCACATGTAGTTAATTACTTCGTAGGTCCAACCTGTATGTTATAGGCCTACACAAAACCAATTTAAATTTCTGATGGAAAGTTAGGGATCATCCATTAGTGTATGTATGCATACCGGGTATATTCATTTATCATAGTGAATCATATAAAGTTAAAAACTTTTAGATTTATAAAAGAGTTTATTTTGCTTTTTTTTCCTGAACATTTTTCTTAGAGGGCTAATTAAATGTTCAGTTCTAATTCATTCATTTTGAAAACTTTGATTCATGTGTTCAAAAATTTACAAAAATTAACAATTTTGTGTACACATTAGGCAGAGAAGTGGAGAAATGGAATGAAATGTCCAAAGCTACCGACTGCTGACCCAAGGGAAGCTATACAAATTTTATCAAAGGAAATCGATAACTACCTTCTAGCAACCAAGACTGGTCAGGACCTGCGCAGAGTGCCACAAAAGCCATCCTTGGTGATTGTCCGACCATCGTAGTATTTTAAAATAAATACATCAATAAAAATTCAATGGTTTTATACACACTAAGACTTTTTTATAATGTTACTGTAATGGGCAATATTTTAAATGGTATCTTCAGAGCTGTGCAGATGTATTTTTCAATTATATTTCAAAAATTTTATAACAATTTTTTATATCCATTGTTAGTGTATGAAACAGCAAAACTTTATAAATAAATTTTAATTTAAGTTTCTTGATATTTAATTTGATTTTTGGCTGGGTATAGAGCTGGTTTTGACAATATATAATTAAGAGCGTGTAAACTATGGGAAGAGGTTCAAAATCTATCATCAAAATAATTCCAGATGGTGCTCCATATATCCAATAATGCTTAGTTGTATTTTTTTCTTTTGTGTGCATTAGGTGCAGACAAAAGGGTTTGGGGGTGGGGGGGGCAGCTTTTTTCAATCTCTTTCTTCCTCAACAAGCATAGCTGCCATGATGGGCTGGCGGTTTAAAAAAAAAAGTATATCTTGACAATGCAGACAAAAAGTGAATGTTAAAATCTCTTATGCACACTGTCTATTATGTTTTGCAAACTTCTCAACCAACACTGTTTGATTGGTAAATCTGGAAAGCCACTTATTGATATTGGTGAAGCACTCCTCAGCATTTAGTGTGTTGAAAAGCTGCACTGATGAATTTTACACGAAATTTGAATGATTAGCCAATGGTGTTCTGTTTATTAACTGGTGTACTGTGTAATAAATAAGTGCTCACTGATTGGGTAGGAGAATGTTGAACTTAAGCAATTCAGGTGAAAATTGTTGCAGGTTTAGTATCCAAGTGAATCTTTACTCAGCTCGCCAGTACCAGCATGACTCATGACCAACTCCAGCAAGAAAAGATTTCAACATTTGAGCAGAATAAAATATTTACTTATTTATTTCATTAGTGTAAGTATGTAATTAATTTATTATTGTTAAGTATTTATATGAGTGTATAGAAAATTGTATCTTGTAACTATAGTCTTAATTTTGCACTTATGAAGTTCAATTTTTTCAGTCAACTAGATTTTCAAGTTAGATAGATAATGCCTAATTAATAATAATGGCATTTAAATTAGGCCTTTTGTGGCTAGTGAAGTAACGTTTGATCAGTTTTCCCATCTTCAGATTAACATTTGATCTGTGCTATTTTCATTACAATTCTAAAGTTTAACTGTATAATAATGAAATTTACATTTGAAAATACTTTGTAGTGGAAAGTTATGGAAGTAGTCAGAAAAGAAATGACTTATTGTACCTGTGATATTGCTGAGGAATTAAAATTGAATGCTACGTTGTTTTATTTCATTAGAGAAATGAAACGATACACCAAAAAATGTGGTCAATAGTTTTTATTTTAGTTTTTAAAAAAAATTGTATTTAAATACAAGAAAAAAAAATAATTTAACATTGCATGAATTTCTAACAATTTTTCTTGAATTTATAGCAAGATATATCTAAGTATTGATTTACTTGACAGAAATGAACTGATGCTTTAATTCTGTGATGCTAACAGATTGGCCAGCTTTTTCATCATAGTCAAACCATTCCTGAAATATTAAATGCAGTATTCAATTTATTTCTCCTCAAAATGTTATGGTAGTATATTGAGACAATGGATAAATTTAGCTTCAGAGAGTACAATTAAATTAAATTCATTTACCTGTTAAAGAGCCCTTTATTGAAATTATTTCATGGCAAATTTGGTTTGATAAAATGGTGAATCTTGAAGTGTAACAACTAAGATTAGGACCGTGACGACTATCTTTACTAGACGCTTTGGTAGCTGCCCTACTGTAGGATATACATTTTTATTTGATATTGCCAAATAAAGGAATCTATCTATATGACATAACTAACATAATTAAATGGTGTTTTAAATTAATGCAATTACTGTAAATGATAATAACCATTTTATAATTATATAATTAAATGAAAGTATTGATTGTACAAGTCATTGTTCCACCCTTGACTTTTATAGTGCTATTCAATGATTTTATTAAAAACTTGAGTAAAACAAGAATTGCACTTTTCAGAGTTATCTTTCCGATGATTTAAATACATAATGTTTCTAAATTTTGTTTGAAAAAAGTCAAACAGATTTGTGAATTTTCAAGAAGAATTACATACCCTTTCTTTAAGGTCAACTTCAGAAAAAATTGTTCCAGACTCCAGGCCTTTAGCTTCCCAACCAACCTGACAAGAAGCATAAATATCACCAATTGTTTTATTACAATTTATAAAAAAAATATAAAAAATTACAATCTTGTCATAGAAAAATTCCTTTGAAACATTTTTCTTTAAAACGTCACTAAACACTTAGAAGACATAAATTAGAACAGAATCCTTCACAAATGATATTACTGAAATCTTAGTTTACCCTGGGTGAAAAGTCAACAGGAGTAACACCTCTACAGTCAAAAATAACTATAGTCTTAAATCGTCCAGCATCCTCGAGTGTGTAAGAAGCAACAGAATCTGCTAAAATATCTGTGAATAAATATTAAAGAAATGTGAGCAATCATGTAAATTTAAATTAATTTAGAATGAAATAAACATTCTTTATTTTTACTGTTTTTATTTGCTGAAAGAAGCAGACACGTTCATTGTTTTTTGTGTCTTCATTTCGGGTTTTCCCCTACCTTGTATTTCAAAGTTAACATTTTCTTTGATCACTTTCAAAGTTTGAGGTACAGTTAATGATCGTGATTAGTTTTAGTTATAAGTATTATTAGTATTGTGTGAGGGAATAACGTTGGAACTTTCATTGATGTCTAGCAGTGATTAAAGAAAAGTTTAGTAAAAAGACATGTTCAATATTTTGAGTGGTTGAAACCTAAATCCTTTCTACTCAACACTCCTTTCGTCACTTAGCCCATCAAAAGAGATATTTTTTAAATACTAGAAACAAAAAAGTTATATTTGTAAGATAAAGTTATAAGCCCTTAATATCACTAATATCAATTAAAAATATAATTACAGACCTTTCATAATTTACTATTCATATAAGTTATAAAACTAATTCTAGATAAGGGGTTGATCAAAACCTAATTCATTTTATATACTAAACTTTATGAGAAAAAACACTTTGCATTTAAAAGACCACATATAAAATACTACCTTTATATATTGTAGGATTAAATTATAATTTCACTTATTTTCAAAATTAGTAAGGTAGAACTGATAAATAATTCATTTTATGTTATAAAAACTAAAAAATATGGCTAATTTACCAAGTGAGTTTTCTCGTTTACATAATTTACATTTGAGTACCAGGCTCGCACTGCTCCTTCCATGTGGTGCAGGGTGATTTTCCTGAATAATTTACAATAATTAAAAAGAAATAATTAAAAAATAGGGTCTGATTTCTTACAGCAAAGATCTTTAAAGTCTAAAATTTAAACAGTTAATTGAAAAATAACCAGAATAAAGTTGGTGTCCGTTAAAATCTATGATAAGTTTAGGATTATTGTCTAATATCGATGCAAATACTTCTCTAATGTCCATGCAAGTCCTGGTCTTAAGACCATGGTAATACTGGTTTAATGTCCTTTATACTACTGATCTTATGTTCTTTATACTACTAATCTAATGTCCATGCTAGTCATTGAAAATAAAAAAATTCAAACTTTTATTGGCTTATAGTTATAGGGAAAGCTCTTGCCAGTATTCAAACATAATGTTTTTAATGTTAAATGAGAATTTAACAATCTTACACCAAGTGAACAATAGACATAGTCTTGTGTTTCTTCTCCACAGTTGCAGCAGGTCAACTGCAATATTTGTAATAATGAATTATTTTTAAAACTCATACACATTTTGCCTGTTAAGCTGAAATAAAAAAAAATTAAAAATAATTATTAAATTTCCTAGGTTAAGGTCTAGATCAAAAATATTATAAAGCATGATTGGCCAGCAAGATGGGAGCTGCAATTAAAGTAATCAATCTCAAGAGCCAAAGAGATTCTTTCCAGGCAGATTTTAAATGAGTCTACATATTAAATTTAAAAAGAAATGGAATAGAAAAGCATGCCTATAAAAAATTATTATTTTTGTATGCCCAAAGTACCCATGTCTGTTACAGTTTATTACAGTAATAAATAATGTCAACCTTTAGATACCATCGAAAGTCTTCACCCTCTGGTTGAATCTCTTGTAGGTTTTCTAGCTGCGCACATATTTGTAGCCCAGTTTTCTGAAAATAATATGTTACAAAATTTAAGTATAATCAAGGGCTATGAGATTTAATTTTTTTTTCATTTCAATATTATTTAAAAAAATGTTTAGTAATCATTGCCAGCATTTTGTTTTTGGCAACTAAATTTTTTAAGGTGTGGTTTTCACTCAACATAATCACAAGACCTGGAATTTTCTTATGGGAAAATAAGCTGGTCCCAGTCAGCTGTACCCCTCTTCAAGCACCTGGTGAGCCAGAGAAAATAAAGTGAATGATACAGCTTGGCATTGGCACTCAGAGCATCACATGAATTTTTATTAAGTCAATGTGTACAGATCTCCCTCTTTGAATGTTCCTTTGGCTTGGTTTCTATGCTTTTAACCGTAGAAGGCAGTGAAGGTTTTCAAATAGAGTTTCCTCCATAAATGAGCCACCATCTAGGTTGACAAGTCCAATTCATGTGCTGGTGTTGTCTTTGCTTCTCTGGGTGTTCATGGCTGTGTGGTTCAAAACCACGCAGCCATCCAGCATTAGCATTAATAAAAGCGCAAACGCACTTTGCTTTATTTATACCATTTTGAGTATTATGTCTTCAATTACCTTTCATCTCAAATAGTGTGTCAATGATAGTGAGGTAAATGCCCCAAATGGCTACTGCATCGAGTTGTTGATGATAATTTACATAAGTTGTGCGATATACAGTGATATGTATCGTTTGATTTGTATGATAGTAAATCATCACTAAAAATATCTTACAGTTACAGCATGATGTGTTGGTGTATGATATCCGAATATGATGTTTATAACAATGATAATGAACTTTGAAAATTACATGGTCATCCAATATGATTGAATTAGTGAGTATTAGTGGTATGACAATAGTATGTCATCATCAATAACTTAAAATTAAATTTGATGTGTGGGATTTGACTGATTTAAGATAGGGCCCGACCTAGTTATAGCATGCTAACTTTAATTTATTCTAATAGTAATGGAAATAATATACTTAGACAGTCATAGTTAAAGTTATTTTAAGTTATTATAGTTGCACTAAGCTAAGTCTAAGTTTAGGACATTTAGGTGTCACTTTGAAAAATTATTTAACTTTTAAAGAAAATTAGAAGTTTGTACTTAGTACTACTACCTATATAACATTCTATTCTATCTATGTCATAATAATAATTAATATAATCGAATATATTTATATTCACATAGTCACATAGTAATAGATAGTAATTTTAGTAATAAATGTAATATAGTTTTCTGAGTTTAGAACTTCTAAATTAAAAGGCAAGAAGGCCTAACTAAGTTTTACGGAACCGTTTAGTGTAAGTACTGTAAATGTGTAAGTGAGGCTAATTCTCAGTCCCAATGCCATATTGTAATATAATAATAATATTGATATAATTATAATTAATAAATTTAAATTTAATAATATGCCAAATTATTAATTATTCCATCCATATTAATATTATTATTATAAATTAGAGGCCTATACCATATTACTATATTATATTCATTCATTCATTGTTCAATATATTTTGATAATTGGGATAGAATTTACCATTGTTAAAATTGATTAACAGCACTCAGATATTATTTTAAATGAATACGTTTGAATATTAGGAACAAGCAAGTTCTTGGAATATGTAAACACAAAAATGAAAACAGGAACTTGTTGGTTTCTTCTTTTCCTTTCGTTTTTACTCTGGACTCTCTTCTCTTCTTACACTGAACTCTGAACTGACATTTTCATTTGGGGGAGGGTTGGGGATGACGCCTTTAAAAGAGACCAGCAATTTAAATCCAGATTTTAAATCTTAAAAATTCGATGAAATCATTTTTTAGAGCGACGTTTTTATTGGAAAGAAAAATATAAATTTATCGTACATTTTATATAAACAGTTGTAACCTGTTAAAGCTTAAAATAAGTAGAAGACACATTTTACCTTTACACCGTAAATAAACCTAGCAAATCTAAATCTTGCTCTGTACTTCCTGATAAAGTAACCCACATAGTTATCCAATTAGCAGGATAATTAGGCTGTTTCTTTCAACCATTATCTGAGAAAATTATTAACATGGCAAACAAGTAAGTCTAAACGTTAAATGCATTTTCTGCAACCTGATCTATTCCAGGGGCGTCACCCCCCCCCTTTTTTTTTTTTCCGGGTGAGTGGTGGAAGCCAACCCCAGACCTTGTAACTTGTACCTGAACTTGACTTAGAGCAACCTGCTCTATTCCAGGGGCGTCACCCCCCCCCTTTTTTTTTTTTCCGGGTGAGTGGTGGAAGCCAACCCCAGACCTTGTAACTTGTACCTGGACTTGACTTAGAAGTTCGTTTGTTTTAAATTCTGTCACAGTGCGAACTGTGTGTGGGTCATGTCAGTCAGTCATGCCATGGTAATGCCATTTTTGTTTAATTCGAGAGTTCACTCTTAGCAATTTACCTTTTCTCCTAACAACACACTCCCCCCCCCCCCAAAAAAAAAAAAAACAAAAAAAAAAAAAAAAAAAAAAAAAAAAAAAACACCAAAAATAATAAGTATTGAGTAATGAGTATTTTCTCCCATATTCACATTCATTCATTTTAACTAGAGAAATTCAAAAGCAGTTAAAATTATTAATATTAAAATTTTAGTTTAAGTTGTAACTAATGTCACTTTACTTAAAAGTGTTTCGCTTGATCTTTCAAAAAGCTAAAGGTTAGGTGTTTTCTTTATATTTATGAGTTTATCATACTCATACATACTGTATGAGTTACTGATTGGATCCCCAGCTGTTTTTGACCCTGACCTGCGTTTCTGATAGAAAATCGTAATAGATTACTATACTTACAAACTCATTAATGAATAGATAGCTTGAACTGTGCATCATGTGTGCTTTGGTTATCTAGTGAGTTTTCAGCTATTATGGTTTTTGGCTACTGAGTGACTGACTGTTGAAAAATATTTTTTTATTTTTAAGGAAGATAAGTTTTCTCTTTCTGGCACTCATTCATGAATAAAGGATGTTTTTTTTTTCCCCTGACAAATAAATTCTGACATCCAATTTTTTAATCCAAAACAGGAAACCATGGTAACTAAAGGTCCACCATTGTCTCTGGAAATTATTTGTGGAACACCATTTTAACATTGACTCCAGCAAAAAAGGCATTTACTCCAAATCCACACCTCTTTCTTTTCTACACACTACTAAGTTGTATTTGGGAGTCATTAGGAAGTTTTATAATATTTCTACCCCATGCCCATTACAGTTTTTCAGAGAAACTCAACCGGTCACCAATGTGTGCATGACATTAAAAATTTATTGACTCTTATTACAAGATTAAGACTCCAGGACTTTTTAATTTAATGTTTTAATTAAAATACTATTACATTTTGAAACCTTCTCATCTTTTTTAACTGAGTAGTTATGAAATTTACTTTCAGATTCTCTGAAGATGCGGAGCTGTCAGCAATAATAAGCAAGCTTTGGGAGCTAGATGATAATAAATGCTTTCCTGGAGTAGATTATGAAATAGATTTACAAGGTGATTTTTTATTTATTTTAAAAATTTCTTTCACTCCATAAGTATTAAGGTGTTGAACAATATGTGACAAGTAAGAAACATATAAATAGTTTTTAAGCACTATATTAAACGTGTAATCTTGAACTGCATATCCATGCATTCTTGAAATGAATATAAAGCAGTTCTTACTTTCATAGGCTACATCAACAGCACACGAGACGTGAGAGAAGACAGGGCGAAAAGTAAACTTTTTCAGTGGGTAAATGAAGAGAAAGTATTTAGTCGGCGTACATATAAAAGTATGTTGTTCACAAAGCTGTTTTATGTTGTTCACAAAGCTGTTTCATATTGTTCACAAAGCTGTTTCATTTCATGTTGTTCAACAAAGCTGTTTCATGTTGTTCACAAAGCTGTTTCATATTTAGTTTTTGTTCAATCTATTTTAATGAGTTTTGTATAACTCTGATTATAAATTATAAATTACAATTCCAAGTAGTATAAATAATTGCTTTAGATATATAATCTAATGCATTTAAAATATTAATGTAATAATATTAATGTGAAAGAATTTACTTATTTATAATAATTTATTGAATAAAGTTCTTATGATAGTTTCTAAAAATCTTGCATAACTTAATATTGATTGCATGGCTTTCAGCTTTTCGAGCACTTTTAGATAACTATGAAATGGAACTTGGTCAAGAAGAAGTAGTTACTCGAGAGGAACTCAGAGAGAACCATGAATTCCTTTCCGCCATCATGGATACAAATGTGATGAAAGAAGCTCATAGATATCTTGTGTCTAAAGGAGTCGCCCCTCAAGACAAGATGCAATTCAAAGCCATGCTGCACGACATTTGGTTTAAAATGTTCAGACGTCAAGCAGCCAGGTGTGATGTTACACAAGGAAGTAAATAGATGTATTTGCGGCAACATAAATGCAAAAAAATAATTTTGCAACATAAGGCACAGTGGATTGGTGCTTTGTTAATAAATAAATTCAAAAGCCATTAATGTCGTGAATTTATCATTTCACACTAAATTTTTCAATGTTCTGAGGAAATGACAAATTAAAATCAGCAAAATAATTCAAAACAGTACATTTAATTGTTAAAATGTAGCTGGATTTTAAAATAATCTTGTGTTTAAATTTTATATTGAAGTAGCCTATGTATATTTATTTCTGTATGTAGGGGAAATGACTCTTGCAGCTTTGAGCATGTGTTTGTTGGTGAAGGCCGTGGGACTGAAATGATTGGTCTGCATAACTGGATCCAGTTTTATCTGCAAGAGAAAGCTGGAAACATCAACTACCATGGCTACTTCCGTAGAGATACAGTAAGTGTATCCCTTTCGTCAATGTTCTTCTGTAAATCAGCTGGAAATTGTGCGGAAAAGATCTGAAAAATATTTCTTTTAAAAATACACAAATATTCACTATTCTATGAAATTAAAAAAAATTATATAAAAAGTAAACTATGTTGGGTTGTTATCATTTTACCTACATATTTAACTGTTTTACACTTATCTTGAAATTTAAAAAAACAACCAATCCAAACTATAAAATATCTAAATATCTAGATTAGCAAATTTTTACATGTTGACTTTTGGAACTTATTAACAGATCCGAGATGATGAAATTATCCGGCTGTTGGCTGTTCAGTTCACCTGGAAAGGGATCAAGGCTAAGCCGCTGTGTAGTGTTTTTATCGGCTCCAGTCCTGAATTTGAAGTTGCAGCCTACACTCTCAGTCTCCTGCTAGACCGTGATGGGAAAGTGGATCTAAAGCTTGGAGAGTACGAGGTGGAGTTGACAGTTCACAGCTTTGGGAGGCAACGCAAGCTAGGTACCGCTTACATTGCAGCTGCTAGAATGGAGTCCTATACAAAGAGTAGACACTGGTAATGAAGATCTACTGCAGTTAACGGTTTAGTTGATGTGAAAGTGTAAAGAAACACAGAATGTCACATAATGCATTTATTTTACAAGGTTGTCCTTTAAATCTTTTTTAATGTCAAAGAAATGATATTTTAGAGAAAGCTCTTCTGTATTAAATTATTAGTAGCATCTCTGCTTAAAATTTTACAATTTTTTTTTAAGCTTTCCTTTTTAATTTTTAACTCATCCAATATGTGTATATGAAGCTGGAGTTTGGAGAGAGTTAAAAAAAATTGCAAGCCACAAAAGGCATGGAAATATATTGTTGATGGCCTATGCTCTACTTTGAGTTAAAATGTAAAGAAAAATATGTGTATAAATTATTGAAAGCTATTTTATAAAGTCATCAAATTTGAGTAATAAATAACTGGAGAAAAGATGCCATAAATTTAGATATTGAACATTATTTTTATGATTTTTCCCATCTTTTATTTTACTTCACATTTCATCTTTTCTCCAGGTCAATTTTAAAACAAATTCTCCAAGTCCTAGAAATTAATCAGGCAAAGTAATGTCATAAAACATTTTGATCTATCAAAATTTGGCTGAAAGTTGATTTAGCAATTTAGAAAATATTTGTAGTTGAAAGTTATAAAATTATTTCTAGTTAGAAATTTTAAAACTAGCCTTTGATTGCACTAAATAATCACTCCGGTTACTTCCTTGTGACAATACAAACCTTGACTTCTGCTAAATTTTTTCCATAATAATTTCCATAGATAGCTCAATTCTGAGATAGCTCAATTCTGACAGTATTTTCTTTCGGTTACACCGTGTCGAATTCTTCCAGTACAATTTTGTAAAGTAACAGTTTTCAATGCAAAGATTTTAATTTTGTTTTTTCACAAATCAAAGTTTTTAAAAGTAAAATTTGTAAATGATTCTGGAAATTAAGAAAAATTTAAATTTCAAAACTTTGGTTTGAAGAAAACAAAATAATCTAAACTTAGCAATATGCCATACTGGTAACATATTTTAAATGTTAATATCTACAATGTTATTGTTGACATAGTTCATTGTTTAATGTGGACTATCTATAAAGTATACAACATGATAGATCTTATAAAATTAGATAACACTTCCAGTTTTCTTGCCATTAACTGCTCGTTTCATGAAATTACAATTAAAAAAATCATTGTTTGTGTTAGTTTTTATGAACCTTATTTTTAGCTGCCGTATAAATAAGTTATTTTTGTTTTTTCCTTAAATTACTGTGATCCATATTTTCTCTTCTCAAAAAAAAAAAAAAAAAAAAAAATAAATTTTTTTTTATTTTTTTTATAAAATTTAATTTTTTTTTTTTTTTTTTTTTTTTTTTTTTAATTTTTTTTTTTTTTTTTTTTTAAAATAAGTTATTTTTGTTTTTTCCTTAAATTACTGTGATCCATATTTTCTCTTCTCAAAAAAAAAAAAAAAAAAAAAATCAATTTCCTTTTACTCTTGACACAAAAGGTAATGTTGTTTGTATGCAAATATTTCATATTAGAAATATTGATTTTTTCCTATCACAATAATAATATTTCATCTTTTTATGTGCGAATGTTAAGTCTTACTGTGTAGACATTTTTACAATATTGGTAATTGCCTTTTAAAATATTTCATTGTTAAATATTTCCTTTTTAAATATTTCCTTTTTAAATATTTACTTTTGATGGGTTATGTGCTTTCTTGGAATGTAGCTGGGAATAATTTTAGAATTTTCCACATTGATGTATATTTATAGCCAAGACAAGATGATGTCACGGCTGCCAGAGGGTGAAACTGTTGATCTCATTTTGTTAACTTTTGTCTGTCAGACCTTGACTACCCTTGTGTAAATAGTTTTGGTGCTAGGTTCTAGATAAATAGGATGTGATTCTATACAACACATTTATACTTTTATATTTTAGTGTAAGCAGACTTATTTATAAGGAGTTTACAAAGACACAGTAGCAATTGATAACTATCTCTGAAATATAGACCAGTAGTATGTCAATATGATATCATGGTACTACTACTGTATGTCAATATGATATCATGGTACAACTACTGTATGTCAATATGATATCATGGTAAAGCTACTGTATGTCAATATGATATCATGGTACAACTATTGCATGTCAATATGATATCATGGCACTGTATGTCAATATGATATCATGGCACTGTATGTCAATATGAAATGATGGTACACTTATTGTATTTCAATATGACATGATTGTATACCTACTGTATGTCATAATGATATTGTGGTACACCTATTGTATGTTAATATGACATTGGGGTATACCTATGATATTTTAAGTGCTTCTTGCAATCTGAACAATTTTACTCAACTAATCAGTTTACATTTTTATACATTTTAAAAATTTACTAAAATGTGTAAATGCATTTTTTAAATCTTAAAATTATGTTTAAAAGATATCAATTGGATAAACCTGCAACTTTTCACAAGTCCATCATAAATGCTACACTCTATTTCAGGGCTGTTGAAAGATATACCAAACCAAACTTTATAAAATCATCAATTATAAAAATTGATATTTTTAGTGATCATCATATCATTCTGATTGGTTGAATTCTAAAGGACCATGAATTATGTACTTTCTAGCTCAACCATAAATAGGTCTCATAAAATATTCATCACTTTTTATGGGCCCAAATTTTTGTGTAACATCTTTCCAATTTTAATCTAGCATTCTCATACTATTTTTCAATGACATAAAAGTATTTTGTAACCATGAATTTAACTTTAAAAAGAAATGTCACAAAACAAATTAGCCATTATTTTATATTCTTGTTGTCTCCCTGGATTTTATAGCTTAGTTGTCTCCCCCTTTTTTTTTTTGGAATGATCTCCCCAAGTTTGTGATACCGCTTATATGAATTTCAACATTATGTCTAAGATTTAAAAGAAAGATAATTAAATATGAACTTTTACATTTCAATTATTAGTTTTACAAACCAAGATTTGTGCCATCAATCTTGCAAAAGATTTTTATATCTAGCTTTTAAATAAATATTTATGACTTTGACTAATTTAGTCAATTCTGTTCAGTTGGTAAAGCCAATACTGAAATCATTTTTCATCCTCAACATTAACAGTAATGACAAAAGGTATGAAGATAAAGTTTTTTTTTTTTTAAAAACATCAATATCATTTGTTTTAAAAGGGACACCTTTGATTAAATAACTCGTCCCAGCTCTAAAGATATTTTAATATATTAAAAAAGAATAATTTCTTACATGTCTTTTATTTTATCCATATCTTCTTTCAATTTTTAAAATCATATGGTACAGGTTATTCTTTTTGTTTTCTCTAGTAAATATCTCACCTACTAGTCTACAGAGTTTACTCTTGAATATTTATAATTAAAAAGTTTTTTTAGTTATAAAAATGTACATCTTGTGTGAAATTCTTTTTCATTATTGTTGTATGCTGTAGTCTAGACTGTATTAGTTCAGAAAAATATATACCATGTTTCTGTAAAGGAGATTTTGGTTAAGTTTACCCAATAATAACATTTAAAAAAAATAATAAACTAAATAACAAGGAAGTAGACTGAATAAAAGAAAAAAACCAATGGGATTTAAAAAAAAAAACCCACAAAAACCACCACCACCAGTCAGATGTTTAACAATCGCTCCCCACCACCCACACCCCAAAAATAAATTTAGAAAAAAAATATCTAAAAAATCAAAGTCAAACCTGTTAAGGGTTGAAAGCCAGACGACCAGACGTGGGTAGTGTACCAATTTGAAACAAAGCTGACAGTATGAAAGTACACGTACACTAGAGATGTCATCACCATGTCCCTGTATTGTATGGTCATGTTACACTACAAGATGAATGTAGTGACGGCATGTACTAGACGCTGATGACCCCTTCCATATTTGTTAAAATATATTGACCTAATTACATCCACCACATACAATCTATTAGGGTTATACCTATACATTTATGTTTTAATCTCCACTGGGACACTGGAAAACTGCCCATTAATGGACCTCTAGTTCTCCCACCAGGACACTAGACTACTGCCCATTAATAGACCTCTAGTTCTCCCACCATGACACTGGACTACTGCCCATTAATGGACCTCTAGTTCTCCCACCAGGACACTGGACTACTGCCCATTAATGGACCTCTAGTTCTCCCACCAGGACACTGGACTACTGCCCATTAATGGACCTCTAGTTCTCCCACCAGGACACTTGACTACTGCCCATTAATGGACCTCTAGTTCTCCCACCAGGACACTGGACTACTGCCCATTAATGGACCTCTAGTTCTCCCTCAGGACAATGGACTACTGCCCATTAATGGGCCTCTAGTTCTCCGCCAGGACAATGGACTACTGACCATTAATGGGCCTCTAGTTCTCCGCCAGGACAATGGACTACTGACCATTAATGAAGACATCTAGTACTTAAAGTTGTCTTTTGCTGATTCGTTTGAACAGTTTTGTGCACTTCCAAATGCATCAATAAAATCACATTGAACCACTTTCCAACCACATTGAACCACTTTCCAACCACCTTGAACCACTTTCTAACTACCTTGAAACACTTTCCAACCACCTTGAATCACTTTCCAACTACCTTGAACCACTTTCCAACCACCTTGAATCACTTTCCAACTACCTTGAACCACTTTCCAACTACCTTGAATCACTTTCCAACTACCTTGAATCACTTTCCAACCACCTTGAACCACTTTCCAACCACCTTGAACCACTTTCCAACCACCTTGAATCACTTTCCAACTACCTTGAACCACTTTCCAACTACCTTGAACCACTTTCCAACCACCTAGAATCACTTTCCAACCACCTTGAACCACTTTCCAACTACCTTGAACCACTTTCCAACTACCTTGAACCACTTTCCAACCAACTTGAATCACTTTCCAACTACCTTGAACCACTTTCCGGCATTGCTCTAAAGCAGGCCTGCACTACATACGGCCCGCCAGCACCCACTTTTTTGCCCGCGAGGTAACGAAAAACTCTTTATTCTTATTATTTTCTTAATAGCTTTCCCTCTGACCTATTTTCTTTCGGCCCACACAAGTTTTTCATAATGTATTACGGCCCGCCTTACATTTTGAGCTGTGCAGGCCTGCTCTAAAGCCTTGACGTGGGTATGTCTCAGAACAAACATGCAAGAGTTCGGAAAGTCCACAGAACTGCTGGTTGCAATCAAAAACACACCAAAACTCATCTATTATTTTTAGAATGAGGCTCTTGAATGATTATCTCCCGATAATCACCCACCACAGTTCATTCCCATGGTCTGTCATCGATCATGGACGTTATGAAGTGGTATTTGCCTTGTGCGCCACTCCATAGCCATTCCACATTCACATGCGCACGCCTGCACACAGACAAACCAGCCAATCAATGCTTCACCATGCTCTCACGATATGGCATTATGGCTCCAAGCGAGAGAAGACAGCAGATGTTAGAACAGCAGATGTTAGAACAGCAGATGTTAGAACAGCAGATGACGCAGATGACAGAACAGCAGATGTTAGAACAGCAGATGTTAGAACAGCAGATGTTAGAACAGCAGATGTTAGAACAGCAGATGTTAGAACAGCAGATGTTAGAACAGCAGATGTTAGAACAGCAGATGTTAGAACAGCAGATGTTAGAACAGCAGATGACAGAACAGCAGATGTTAGAACAGCAGATCCTAGAGCTCAACTTTGTAATAAAATCACGTGGATAAATTGACTTTCTTACTGCCAAACTGTTAGAATAAGGCAAACATCGCACGATTTCAATATGAGAGCATTTGCCGAGGTAAAGATCTACGTGTAATCACCAAATGAGTTCAGGCAGTTTTTATAATCAATCTTAACATGCTGACCAACACAAGCTTCCCCAAACTGACCACTACGGCGTGGTTTAACTTGCATATATGGTCGATCTGATTTGTATTAATTATTGAATTTTTTAAAAGCTATGTTGTAATGAGGATTTCGAACATATTCACAATGAACTAAACGACCCCAAGCAAAATCTCAACATTTGGTTAACAAAGTCACTCCAGGTATCTTAAGAAATATACCAAAACACACAACTGGGTACTATCACAGATTGTGTCGCATTAATCTACTATCACAGACTGTGTCTCATTAATCTACTATCACAGACTGTGTCTCATTAATCTACTATCACAGACTGTGTCTCATTAATCTACTATCACAGACTGTGTCTCATTAATCTACTATCACAGATTGTGTCGCATTAATCT